GGGACCCTGGGCCTCTCAGTGGATAGCTGCCATGGAGCAGGAGATGGCATCTTGGAGATCCACCGGCACCTACGTCGACGCAGTTCCCCCACCTGGGGTGAACTTAGTCGATGGCCGCTGGCTCTTCAAGGTGAAGCGCCCTCCTGGAGAGCCGCCTGTGTTCAAGGCGCGCTACGTGGCTAGAGGCTTCAGTCCGCGTAAGTGGGTGGACTTCTTCCAGACCTTCGCTCCGATCCCGAAGATGACTACTCTTCGGGTGCTGCTACACGTAGCAGCTCAGCGTGACTACGAGTTACACTCCCTCGACTTCTCCACTGCGTTTCTTCAGTGCAGTCTACACGAGCAGGTCTACCTGTGCCACCCTCAGGGCTTCACTGGTACCTTCCCTCCTAGGACCAAGTGGCTCATGCGGCGCCCCGTCTACGGCCTGCGGCAGGCTCCCCGTGAGTGGCACGACACACTGCGTGCTACGCTTGCTGTCCTGCAGTTCTTTCCGTCCTCTGCAGACCCCTTGCTCTTCGTTCGTGCTGGCCAGACCCCGTTCTACATTCTTGTTGATGTAGACGACCTGGTCTTTGCCACGGCAGACAGGGACGCACTGGCCTCCGTAAAGGCAGAGCTGCTGAAGAGACACACCTGCACTGACCTTGGAGAACTGCGCAACTACATTGGCTTGCAGATCTCCACAGACCGAGCAGCGTGCACCATCACTTTGACTCGGTCACACTTGGTGTGCCAGGTCCTTTAGAGGTTCGGTCTTCAGTTCTCCTCCGCACAGCCCACTCCTCTGCCTCTAGACCACAGGCTCTCCACTCCATTTCCTGAGGAATCGGCAGAGCCCAGTGGTCCTTACGCAGAGCTGGTGGGTTGCCTCATGTACCTGATAACTTGCACTTGTCCAGATCTCGCATACCCTCTCAGCATCCTGGCTCGCTTTGTGGCTACAGGTAGATACCGACCTCAGCACTGGTCTGCCGCTAAGAGGGTTTTGCGTTATCTTGCAAGTACATCGGGCATGGGGTTTGTGCTAGGAGGACGCAGGCCAGTGGTCCTTACTGGACACACAGACGCTTCTTGGGCAGATGACGCCGAGACCCTCAGGTCCTCGCAGGGCTACTACTTCAGCCTTGGTTCAGGTGTCGTCTTGTGGAGGGCTACCCGCTCCTCGTCTGTTGCCCAGTCCAGCTGTGAGGCCGAGATCTACGCTGGTGCCATGGCGGCACAGGAGCTCCGCTGGCTGACTTTCCTGCTCACTGACTTAGGCGAGCGGCCTAGCTCTGCCCCAGTCCTGCATGGGAACAACAGGGCCATGATCCTCCTGTGTCAGGAGCCTCGACTTGAGGGCAGAGCAAAGCACATCCAGCTTCGGTACGTCCTCCTGCGTGAGCTCCAGCAGCGCCGCCAGGCGCGCGTAGTACACTTGGCCTCCGGTGCCAACACAGCTGATATCTTTACGAGGGCGTTTGCGCCTAAAGATCATCAGCGGCACTGTGTACGGCTGGGTCTTGTTCCTGTAGCCTCTCACTTGCTAGGGCCTTGACTTTGTACTGTCCTTTCTATATATATATTTTACCCTGACTGGCCTTGTGGCCTCTCCCAGTGGCTGGACTAGTAGTACCGCCCTGGTCTTGCTCTTGCCTTGTCTATACTCCTTGTGACTAGTCTTTAGACCCTTGTCTCAGAGGTTGGACTAGTAGTGACGTCCTGAGCTGTTTCTTCCGTTACTAGGCACTGCCCCTATACAGTCGGGGTGGTGTGTCAAACATAACTTATGCAGTTACTGTAGACTATATATGTTTGTGCCTTACTGGGTACAGCTCACTAGTCTATATTGCCTTGTATCTCCCCATTCTAGTTATTATTCATTCTGATACATAAAGAGACTGGTTAATAGAAAATTAATCATGGTACATCCATATATTATAAAACAGAGCATATAAACAGTATATCATAGTGATATGTATTAAAATGAACTAGCTAGGAAGAGGTGCCATGGAATGGCGAGACGTTTTAGGAAGGAGAAAAAAGTATCAAGAGAGAAGAGAGTGTTTGGAATAGAAGAGAAGGAGATACCAGAAGGGGTGCAGTCCTCTTTACATTAGGATACAATAAGACCTACCAAGCCTATAATTATATATATATAATATATAATTTAATACACCCCCTAGGCTTGGTAGTCGCAAGCCCACCCCAGATGCAACACCTCTAAGCCTAGCACCCCCATACCCTGCAACTGAGGCGACTGCAGGAAAGGAAGGTGGTAGGCTTCCTTGCATTAAATTATGTATTATATATATATAATTGTAGGCTTGGTATGTGTTATCGAAATCTACTGTAGAGGGTACAATCCCCTCTTTGTATCCCTCTCTCTTTCTAGTTTGTCTCTCTTTTCTCTCATCAACTTTCTCCTTCCTAAACCTCACGTCATTCCATGGCTTCCCTCCTACCTAGCTTAGTTTAACATGGTTTCAGAGCCGGCGGTCCGTCCTGATGGGCCGCCTCTTCACGCTTCCGCCGCGTACCCCCACCCTTCTCGTTACTTTCGCGCCGCCGTGGCGGCCGTGTCGTGCTGCCATTGCGGCTTTTTCGTGCTGCCGTGGCAGCCTCGACGTGGCGGCTTCGTCGTGCCGCCGTGTTGCCGTTGTCGCGTCAGCGCACGGGCGGCAGTGAGCCGCGCACTGGTTGTGGCACCAGGCAGAAAGCTTGCACTCCAGGTCGCCGCGCCTCCCCAGCTCGTCGTGTCGGACCCTGCTCGCCGCGTCGGACCCAGCTCGCCGCGTCGGTCCCAGCTCGCAGCGTCGGTCCGAGCTCGCCTCATAGCTGGCTCCGCCCCACCGCAGCTCAAGGATGCCTAGCGCCTTCCTTCCCTGCAGTCGCCTCTGCTGCAGGGTATGGGGGTGCTAGGTTTAGAGGTGTTGCATATGGGGTGGGCTTGTGACTACCAAGCCTAGGGGGTGTATTAAAGTTTATATATTATATATATATTTATAGGCTTGGTATATATTATCGAACTCTACTATAGAAGGTACAATCCCCTCCGTATATCCGTCTCTCTTTCTAGTCTCTCTCTTTCTAGTCTCTCTCTTTCTCTCGTCAACTTTCTCCTTCCTAAACCTCACGCCATTCCATGGCTTCCCTCCTACCTAGCTTAGTTGAACACCTTGAGCTGCGGCGGGGCAAAGCCAGCTGGCGTGGTGAGCTGGGACCGTCACTGCGAGCGGAACCCGACGCGGCGAGCTGGGTTCGACGCGGAGAGTTGGGTCCGACACGACGAGCTGGGGAGGCGCGGCGACGGCCCACTGTCGCCCGTGCGCTGACGTGACGACGGCGGCACGACGAAGCCGCCACGATGTGGCCTCAAGCCACGGTAGCACGTCGAGGCTGCCACGGCAGCACGACGAAACTGCCGTGGCAGCACGATACGGTCGTCACGGCAGCGCGGAAGTTACAAGAGGGGAAGGAGTACGCGGCGGAAGTGTGAGGAGGCGGCCCAGCAGGGCGGATCTCCTGCTCTGAAGAGGCGCCATGGAATGGCGAGAGGTTTTAGGAAGGAGAAAAAAAAGTATCGAGAGAGGAGAGTGTTTGGAATAGAATAGGAGATACAAGAAGGGGGGTAGTCCCCTCTACAGTAGGATTCAGTAACACCTACCAAGCCACAATGATATATATATAATATAATTTAACAATAAGAATTTTCTATGATGGCTCAAATGCTATAGGGGAGGCTCGAAATTGTATGATGGCTGGTATGATGCATGTAAGGAATTAGTGTACACACGATGTTATTAATGAACAAGTAGAGTAGCGCGGAAATGAATAACGAAGTGTTGAATCACTGAATGACGATACAAGGAATGGCAAGCCAAGATATAGGAACACCAGAGCTATTTCAACCATGAGATGTGAAGGTTCGCGAGGGAGATCAAAGGGTCTCGAAGTGACGAAGCGAGGCCCGGAGAACTCTCGAAGGTCGAACTAGAAGGTCTGGAGAAGCCGAGGCGGCTCTGTCAGAAAGGTCCGGAACCGTCCCGAGGCTGGGACCCTGGGCCTCTCAGTGGATAGCTGCCATGGAGCAGGAGATGGCATCTTGGAGATCCACCGGCACCTACGTCGACGCAGTTCCCCCACCTGGGGTGAACTTAGTCGATGGCCGCTGGCTCTTCAAGGTGAAGCGCCCTCCTGGAGAGCCGCCTGTGTTCAAGGCGCGCTACGTGGCTAGAGGCTTCAGTCCGCGTAAGTGGGTGGACTTCTTCCAGACCTTCGAGCGTACGCGATAGCAGTACCGATCGGTAAGGAATGGAACATTCCTTATACATGAGATCTGTCTATGCACCACTCTCACATTCGTTTATGCATAGCTGGCCTGCGATCTTGACTGGCGGTTTGAGATGGTCTTGGTTCTCGCGCACGTCCATCCAAAGCCAGACAGCACCGCACCGCACCCGCCCAGCCAGCACCTTGACGTGAAACAAAAGTCTGGGAGGGGATGCGGCGGAGCGGAGGTACAACCTCTGCTCCGCCCAACAGGCACACCTCACTTAGCCCCCTCCCTTCCGCCTCAACCCCCAAAGGCCATTTCTGGACCTGGCTGAGCTCACACGCCTGATTTCATATGGAGGCCTTTCTGCCTGACGATTCTCCAAGCTCGTCCACCATTGGCTGGATTCCGTCGGTCAGCCCCCTGGCGGTTGTCAGGGAGCCATCTGGTGATTTCTCCGCCTTCACATCAGCTGGCGGAAATCATCCGCTCGCGAGCTCCTCTGCTGGTTTAGCCTGTCCAAAAGTGGGATGTCGACGATATCCGCCGACATCAGCCGTAGTTTTAGCGCGGTGCTGTGCATTTCTGGATTACTACAAAATGTTTACAGCTCGGTACATTGACTTCCGTTCTGTTGCCGGGTTCAGCCACCTCCTCCCCCTTCGGTCTGATTTCCAGCTTTGTCTCCCATCCACACATGGTTCGCAGACAACACACTGCGACAGTACCGCAGCGAACGCTGGGCACACAACGATAAGACCCATCTCGCATTTGTGGTGTCGCACGAAGTCTTTGCAACTGTAGGGTGCCATGTTTCTGGCCTATAATGGCGCGTCCACGCGTTCTCCCCCATGGCGTTCCAATCAGCGACAGTCATTCGTCCGTCTCGTACGGAAAGAGCTCACCCAGCCCTAGCCCTTAATCTGTGACTCTCCCATTCGTCTAGACTCTCGTATATCCGTAGCCTTATCTCCTCCTTGTCCTGTCTTCAGCCTATCTTTAGCAGCGATCATGGCCGAAGCGTTCGGCCATGGCCATCCGTTTGACCTAATGGAAGCCTTAGAAGAGGCGGAGCTCACAGGAACCGCGCATCGGGCGCATAGCGCCACGCCGTGGGACCCTAACGCGTGGGAATGGGACAGCCTTATGCTGTTACCACATCCCGCCGCTTCCAACCTCCCCACATCCACCACGGAATCCTCTTACTTCCCACTCGCGCCGTCCAACACCCAACTGCACCACGAGACGCACCAAGATCCACATGTAGACGCCCATTCGCAAGTGTTTCCTTCACTATTGGAGCCCGCTTCTCACGCCTTATCCGTGAAGAACCCAGAAGCGGATCTAGCGAACCCGGCGGGGCTATTCCCGCAGCTTGATCTGGCGGTCAGCAGAGGTCTCGCGCTGCTCACAGGCGACGAAGACGGCCTGGAGGTAGGAGTAACGGCCGGTTTTGCACCTAAGAGAAAGGAGCAGCCGCCAACCCCGCTGGATTCGGACTGTCCTAATTTTAGAGCCGGTAGAGTGCCGTGTGAGTGTACGCAAGCGGACGGGCAGCTCGCCGTTAAGCGGCAGCGATTCCAAGGCCGCGGAGGGACGATTCCAGGAGTCCGCGCGTCGTCAGGTCGCAAGGGAGATAAGGGCGCGCGGAAACGCGGGGCGGAAGCGGAAGGGGCTGGGTCGCAGGCGATCGGAGGGCCGGGTAACGTGCATTGTCAAGTGGACGGCTGTGATGTGCTCCTGTCGTCCCTGCGCGAGTATCATCAACGGCATCGGGTGTGCGAGGCACATGCGAAGGCGGGTTCCGTGGTGCATGAGGGGATCGTTCAGCGCTACTGCCAGCAATGCGGTCGGTAAGTGTCGTTGTCACTGTCCCATCTTATTGCCTCCACTGGTTCCCGTTTCCCTATGCTGCCCTCTCGTGAGTCGTGGTGATTGCAGCCTGGCACGATAACGTTTTATTTTGCCCCCCTTGCCCCAGCTTTCATCCCATCGGCGATTTCGACGAGGCTCGTCGCAGCTGCCGTCGCAAGCTGCAGCGACACAACAACCTGCGAAAGCACAAAGCGGTCAAGCCACCCGCCGCCGCCTCCGCTTCCGCCTTCCCCCCATCCCCACCCAATACCAGGGGGGAAGGAGGAGGGTCGCCGGAGAAAAGCAGCAGTGGCGGAAGCGGAGGCGACGGCGCTGGCGGAGAAACCGGCGCGGCGTCGGGGGAGGCGGAGACTAAGCGGAACATTCACGAGGGAGCACCAGGAGGGCAGGCGAGCGGAGGGATTGCATTAGGCGGTGCGGGGAAGGTGGGGGATGATGACGGCGGGAGGGGAGTGCAGGTGCGTGAAGGGGAGGAGGTGAAGGTGAAGCTATCTCTGGTGGCGGACGGCATGCTGTCGCTGCACCACGCGCATGGCATGGCCGCATCTGGGTCTGCTTCCATGAGTAGCGACACTGGCGAGAGCAGAGGCGCAGGGCGAGGGAGGCACGCGGAGGGGCAGGCACAGGAGGAAGGCGAGCGGAGGAGCGGCGGAGATATTGGTGGTGCGGCAAGACGTATGTGCCAGTCGGCTCCTACCGCTGCGGCTGCGCCCCCTGCCGCTGTTCCTACTGCGGCTGTTACCTCTGCTGTTACTGCCACTGCCACTGCCACGGCCAGTGGAACTGCTGCGATTCTTCCTGGCGGTATACCCGCTGCTCGTTTCGCCCCTGCTCCTCCTCCTCTTCCTCGCGCCGGACCTCTCTCCGTCGCCCCCTCTCCTCCCTTTCCCGGTCCGCCTCCGGCCCTGCTGTCGCTCCCCATGCTGCGGGACCCAAGAAGCGCGGGGGCTGCCACGTGCGCCCCTGCTGCGAGGGGTGATCACGCTGTTCCTGCCGCTGCCGCCGCTGCTGCTGCTGCTGCTGCTGCTGTCGATGTTGGTGCTGGCAGCGATGCGGACGGTGCTTCAGGCAACGCGTCGGCAACGCGTCGGCCCTCTGTGGGAGCAGAAGGGGGAGCGGAGGCATCAGCGCCAGCTGGGGTTGCGGCGCAGGCAGTGGCGGCTACGGCGGTGGCAAGACCCGTGAAACGAGCGGCTGCCACGCGTATAGCAGCAGCAGCTGCTGCTGCCGCCCCTCCTGCTGCGGCCACGGGTGCTCATGATGCGTCTGCGTCGGCGGGTAGTAAGGGAAAGGTGCCTGGCAACAGGGTGACGACGAGCAGCAAGCTAAGGGCGCGCGCTGACGATGGGACGAAAGAGACGGAGGGGGAGGGCTCAACGGATGTGGCTTGCGGACAGGACGCAGCAGGGGGGTGCTGCGGGGATGGCGCACGCGAGAGGGCCGCAGGGAAGCCGCGGAAGGAGGGGAGAGGGTCGGCGGCTGGCAGGAAGAAGCATGGGGGAGCGGAGAGAGGGGGGTGCGCGGGGAGCCAGGCGCAAGGGGGGTCGGCACAAACAGCAAGCCTGGGCATGGTGGGCGGTCATATGCAGGGGGTGGTTGGGTTACCCATTGGTGCAAGCCATCAGGGGCCGCATAAAGGCATGGGCATGGGGATGGGCATGAGCATGGGAATGGGTATGGGAAGCATGCCTATGGCGATGGGCATGGGTCCGTATGGAATGGGGATGCCACCTTATGGCATGCCCATGGGTATGAGTCCAGGTATGGGTATGAACGTGCCACCTGGTATGGGCATAGCTATGGGCATGGGCATGGGGATGGGAATGGGCATGGGGATGGGCGTAGGTATGGGCTTGAACATGGGGAATCCAATGGGAGGAATGACGAGTGACCATCCCATGCCACCCATGCCTATGGGTATGGTCATGGGTCCTGGCATGGGCATGGGTCCTGGTATAGGCATGGGTATGCCCCATGGGCATGCGTACATGCGGGCACATGGGCCTCCGGGTCAAGGCCATGTGCATGCGCCCAGCACAGGCATGGGCGCAACGCTCGCAGCAGGATTGGTTGAAACAGTGCCAGCAGGAGCAGCAGCAGCAGCAGCAGCAGCTGTAGCAGGGGCGACAGCAGGCGCGGCATCAGAGGCAGTGGCGGCAGCAGCGTCTGCAGCAGCGGGGCAGTCCGAGTCACTGTCAGGGCCAGAGGGGAGCGCAGAGGGGCTGCAGGCAGCGCCGTGCGTGGGGGCAGCAGGCGGCAGTGATGCGATGGTGCAGGGCGCAGGCAGTGAGTCGGGCGCAGGGAAGGAGGTGCAGTCCCTGGTGACAGCAGCAGCGCCGACTGTTACTGATGTGCCATCCGGTGCAGGAGATATGGACATAAGCGGCCACTCCGATTCTCCTGCCCCTGCCGCTGCCCCTGCTCCTGCTCCTGCCCCTGCTGATCCTCCTGCTGCTCCTCCGGCTACGGCTGTAGCTACGGGCTGCTGCAAGTCTGCACGTGCTCGTCCTGCTCCCACCCCCATGCCCCTGCGCCCTTCCCCCTCCCCCTCTCCGCTTTCCTCTGAAGGGGACGCTGCGAGGAAGACGGACGAGGGGAGGAGCGCGGATAAGGGGTGGGAGGAGGAGAGCAACGGGGGGAGTGAGGAGCGGAAGGAGGGGAGGGAGGAGGGGGGGCAGAGTTCGGACGAGGATGGGCGACTGGCGTCGTGGATGGAAGCGCGCTTGACGTGCGGGGATGCTGGTAAGGGGAGTGCAGGTGGGAGAGGTGGTGCTGCTAGGCCATCGCCAGTTGGTGGTGATACGGTTGGTGATGATAGGGTTAGCGTCCAGGCAAGTGCTTCTGGACCGGGCGTGGCACGGAGTAAAGGAGAGGCCGTGGCTGTGGTTGGGGAGAGCAAAGGGCGTGGGACGAGCGAGAGGGATGTGGGGGTGGGAGGGACAGGACTAGAATGCTGCTGTGGCGTGAAGGGGAGTGAAGGGGAGAAGAGTGCGGAGGTAGGAAGCACTAGGGAAGGGGGAGTGGACGTTGAGAGGAGAGGTGGTAGAGATGGCAGATGCCATGAGAACGATCAGACGCAATTGACAGAGCAGCAGCAGCAGCAGCAGCAGCAGCAGCAGCAGCAGCAGCAGCAGCAGCAGCAGCAGCAGCAGCGGCAGCAGCAGCGGCAGAAGCAGCAGCAGCAGCGGCAGAAGCGCCAGCTGGATGAGGCACAGGTACGGGAACAGGGGATGGAGAAGCAGCAGGCGTTAGAGGGGGTAGGGGAGGCAAAGGAGGGCCCAACGCAGGGCGGCCGGAGGGAGGAGTTGGTGCAGGGCGAGCAGCGGAGGGGAGGCGATGAGCAGCGCACGGGGCGCATCTCACTGAAGCTCTATGACTGGAACCCGGGGGACTTCCCCCGCCACATCCGACACCAGGTGCGCCCACACACCCACTCGTACCATGCAATGTTGTATGCCATGCCGTGCCATGTCACGACAACCCACGTGAGTTGCGAACCCAATTTGGCACCTTCGCGTGGAATGTTGAAAGGGTCCTGCAGCTGATCGGCGTGGGAAAGGTGGCCGGATTTCCTCCTGGGATCACTGTAAGCCCCCCCAAAAAAAAATTGTGCCATGCCATGCCAACATTCCTCAGTGACATCATGCGGTGTAATGCCACGCCCACTTCGTGCCTTCGCCCTTTCCCCCAACCCCCCTCTCCTTCTCGTCCCCCCATCTATCTCCCCCGTGTGTCTCTCCCCACGTGAGTAGGTCCTAGAGTGGCTGTCGCGGATGCCATCTGACCTGGAGGGGTACATTCGCCCCGGCTGCACGCACCTCACACTTTTCACTCGAATGCCCGCACGCGCATGGACTCAGGTGAGACCGTGAGACTGCGAGACCGTGAGACCGTGAGACCGCAAGACTGCGAGGCCGCGAGGCTGCGAGGCTGCGAGGCCGCGAGGCCGCGAGGCAGCGAGGCCGCGAGGCCGCAAGGCCGCGAGACCGCGAGTCCGCGAGACTGCCCTGCTGCAGGTGATCCCCCCTTGGCTCACATGAAGCCTGTATGGGCTGAAGACAAGAGCTTCTTGTGCGGCTTCCCTTGTTTCGCGGCGACCTTGTTTGTTTGTCTTTTCGGCGTCACACCGCTATCCGATGATTGCTTCTCGGCCGCCACGGAAGCCTCTGCCTGCTCACTGCTCCGCCTGCATTTTGACTCCTCATCCCTCTCCCCCTCGCATGTGTGCTTGGCAGATGGAGGAGCACCCCTCGCCCTTCCTCCACAGGCTGCTGTACCCCCCCCAACCACCCTTGCTCCACTCCTCCCCCCTCACGCCCGCCTCGCCTACGTGGTGGTCGGTGGGCGCCATGGCAGTGCAGCTGGGCACCCACAGCGTGCAGCAGCGCCTGCTCGTGGACCATGGTGAGTGCTCTGTGCACGCCATGCCGTGCCGTGCCTCTACTGCTGGTGCGTCGGCTTCTTCGTCTGCCCGCCTGCTGAACGCTCCCTGTTCTGATTCTTTGCTCGCCATCCGATGCGTCCCATTCATGACCATATCGCACGCACCACGCCACGCCACACCACAGCATACCACTTGATCCCGTCTCGCATCCTTCCCTCCCGTTTCTTACAATGTCAGGCGTCATTCGTTCCACCAAGCAGCTCTATCCGTCAGCATCCGCACCTCGCCTCCATCGCCCCCCGGGCCTATTCGCCCTCCCACTCTCGCCCTCACCCTCCCACCTGGTCCTCCGAGCGTCCAACCTGCCTGCCAGCACCAGGTGAGCTGCATGGGAACCAGGACGAGGGGTCCGACCTACCTCCCCTGCTGCTTACCTGCCACTCAAGTTCCGACCTTTTAGGTCCGACGCATCCTGCTTCTCCAACCATCGGACTGAACCCCCCTCCCCTTTCTCCTCCTCCTCGTCTCCCCTCTTGCTTTTCCGTGCCCTCCCTGCTACCTGCCTCTTTGCCTCTGCTACTCCTGGCGTGCTGTGCCTCTGCATCAGGGTGATGTGCTCTCTGGCGGGACGTTACCTGGTCAACACTGCCACTCACGCCAGCCTTTTCAACGCTGACGGGTTAGGGCAGGCAGAGGAGGGGGAGGAGACGGGGGGCAAGGGCGGGGAAGTGGAGGCGGAGGGAGGGGAGGAGCACGGGGAGGAGGAGATCTCTGTCGTTCTTCCTCCTCTCACCACATGGGGCACACTTCGTGTCGAGGTACGGGGTAGAGAGTAGAACCAGCCAGGCACTGCTGCCGCCACCATGCCCTTGCTCTATCAACCCCTCAGGTGATTTTCCTCCTCTGTCTTGCTCCCTCAATCTCCCTGCCTGCATCCTCTTCCCTCTCCTCGCCTCGTCCTGTTTCCCCTGCCAGGTGGAAACGTCTGCTGGGCTTTGTCAACCCCTGCCCCTGCTTGTGGCCGCTGCACCCATCTGCACCGAACTGCACTCCCTCCTCTCGCCCTCCGCCTCTCCTCCCTCCCTCCTCGGTCGTCTGCCAGGCGTATCCCTTCCGTTGCCCACCCTACCATACTCACGAGCATCAACGCAGACAGCATGTGGAGCATCAGCCGACGCATTACCGGCAAGTGCGGCCCTACCATCAGAAGCAGCAGTGGCAGCAGTGTTTTCGGGAGTGTCTCAACTGGCTGACATGCTCACATGGGGTGGCGTGTGCCGCTGCCAAGACTGTAAATGCGGTCTTGGTGCTTCCTACACTGCTTTAACTGCTGCCTCCGCTTCGTGTGGAGGGGAGAGGCGTTTGGGAAGTGCGAGGGAGGGGGGAAGTGGAGCAGAGGAGAGAGGGGAGGCACTGGAGAACGAAGGCGGAAGGAGGGACGGTGTTGGAGGGATTGAAGTCCCTGGAACGGTGGAATGGGAGGAGGGGGGAGAGGGGGAGGAGGAGGAGACAGGTGATGCGATGATGGGGGATGGGGCAAGTGAGATGAATGAGGGGGAGGATGGGAGTGAGGATGAGGAAGTAAAGAGTGAGGATGAGGAAGTAGGGAGTGAGGATGAGGAAGTAGGGAGTGAGGATGGTGCTTGGGAGGACCGTGAGGAGGGAGAAGGTAGTGTGGAAGACGAGATGGGGCATGAGCCCCAAGCAAGGCATGAGCAGCACACTGGCGAGCAACAGCTGCACGGCAATCAGCTGCAGCAGGAGGAGCAGCAGGAGCAGCAGGAGCGGGAGGAGGAGCAGCAGGAGGCGATGGTGAGTGAGTGGATAGAAGACATGGGGTGGGTGCTGCGCAAGCTAACCATGCCGCTCCCTCAGGCAGCAGCATCCGTGCTGAGCCGTCAGCATGAGGTGCAGCGCGTGCATCACCTGCTCTCCCACGCCGTCACGCACGGCCTACCTGCCACCTCCTCTGCTCTCCTGCACTGGGCTGCCCGCCTCGCCATCCTCACCGCTGCTTCCCATGCCACTCCTGCATCGCAACCCAATGCACCCGCTGCTTCGGCCATTGGTGCCGGTGCGGGTTCTGCTGCTGCTGCTTTTGCTCGCAGGGAGGCGATGCGGGAAGTTGTGGAGGCAGTGGGGTGGGATGCGGTGAGTGGGTGGTCTCTTCTGCACGTGGCAGTGGCGCTGGGGAATGAGCCGCTTGTGGATCTGCTGCTGCGATTCGGCAGGGGCGACATGGGCCGTGGCGAGCACAGCATGGATAACAGGGATCCCAGCAGCAGGGATGAGAACACGGAGGGCATGGGTGGGTCTCAGGGCTCACTGTTCAGCCTCGGAATAGAGCACATGCTGCTACGTATTACAGACAATCCAGCAACGCCACCAGCAGCAGCAGCGGCAGCATCAGCAGCGTCACCACCAGCATCTCCCTCTTGCCATGCACCCTCCTCCTCCAGTCCCCTTTCCCCATGCTCTCTCGCCCATCGCCCATGGTGGTCACCTGTGGCTGCAGGGCCGGGGGGGGTGACGCCCCTGCATGTGGCTGCTCGCCTGGCCGCGCTGCCCTGTGCCAACTCGTGCGGGTGCGGGCAGCTGAGGGTCAGCGATGCACAGAGGGCCGCAGCAGCCCGCATTGCAGCCAAGCTGCAGGCGCACCTTCTCCCCCATGAGGTGCGCATCCCCCCCATCAACCCCATTCCCCCTCGCCCTCTTACGTACGCTCATCTTAGGCCCCCCGTATCCGTCCACCCATATATTCGCTCCCATTCATGTGATTGTCCTTCCCATTTTCCTTGTCTTTCCGCTCTGCTCATGTGCACCCTGCTCCCTCGGTCTGTCTGTCGGTCTGTCTGTCTGTCTGTCTGTCTCTGTATACTCCATTCCTTGCAGGCTGTATGGTGGCGCACGAACGCATCAATCATCGTCCAACAACCCGCAGGCCCATCCTCATCCCTCCCAGAAGCGCCCTCTCACTGTGGCTGCGCATGTGCTGCCGCTCCTCTCGCACGTGCATCCCCATCGCCAACCCCATCCCCTCCCGCCCCCTCACTCACTCTCCTCCCCTCCAGCAATGCCTGCTGCTGCTCTTCCACCCCCCTCGCCCCGCCTCCTCCCACCTCCTCCTCTTGCTGTGCTCCTTCCGGAACTGCTCCTCCCAAAACTGCTCCTGCATCACATCTCCCCTTCTCGCGTTCTCCTTCTCGCCCCCCTGACACTGCCTCTCATGGTTCACGTAACAATGCACCTGCCAGGGTCAGTGCTGATGCCACGGCACAGCACTCAGCACTGCCCACCGCAGCACTTCCCACAGCAGCAGAGCCTGCAACACAGCACGTAGCAGAGCAAATGGGGCCCAAGCTTGTGTGTGCTGCACCTGGCAGGAGTTGCTGTGGGTCGGCTCCAAGCATTGATGCAGCTGAGGACAGAAACCAGGGCATTGTTCTCGTGGAAAGGACCGCCAAGCCGTGTTGCACTCGTGGCCGCAGCAGCGGTGCCAGTATCAGCGGCAGTTTTGACAAAGCTGCCAGCAGCGCAGCATGTAAGGGGCACGTGCCACTATCATCCTGTGCTGCATATACTGCTGCCGTGGAGGGTCATGGAAGGGAAGAAACGACCCAGCATTGTTCAGCTGAAGAAACGGATCAGGCAGCAGAGGATGCAGGCGAGGCAGACTCGTCCCGAGTGACTTCAGCAGCACGCTTACAGAGCGCCTCTGAGGAAGGGTTAACAGATGCCGGGTGGATGGAGCACGCACGCAAGAAGCAGAGGACAGAGAGAGGGTGCTGGGGCTTCCGGGGAGGAGTGAGTAAGACATGGCTACCTGTGCTGGCAGTGGGTCTGGTGACATGCGCGTCCCTCACCTACTGCCAAGCTCACTCTATGCCCTCCACTGCCGCTACGGACACCGCTGGAGCAGCAGACACGCCCATTAGTCTTGTCGGCTCTGCCCCTGGTGTGCTGATCAGCTTCTTAATGCGGTCCTTGCACCGGCAACCCTTGGTCATCCTTGTTGCAGTGGCTGCTCTCTTGCTCGTTTCCCTTCCTCGGTACGTGTCTTGACTCACACGTTCTGCCTTGCTACTTAGTGCTTGTGGGTTGATTGTCCCTACTAGACAGGGGCCTTACCGTGATGGCTGCATTTGAGCTTCTTATATGCTTATTCAGAATCTTGAGGTGTAAGACTCCTCGCTGACTTGAGTACATATGACTTGTCATTGTCGCATTGTGACAACTTGTATTGTGCTCTTTTTCCCTCGGCTCCAGAGTGTATGCATGCACACCTAACCCACATCAGACTGCTGCTGCTGATGAAGGATGGAAACATAGTCCAGGGGTGCAAATCACAGTTGTGTGCACATCACAGTGCACCAACTTTCCAGTGGATTAGGAATTCAGGCCCATGGTGGGAGCCATTCTAGCAAGTGCATCGGATCAGTGAACCCGCCAATGCCGCGGGCCACAATTTCCCTTAGTCCTGATGAGTCTCTCTGTAGGAACTACACCACCATCAATGGTGAATTGTCATGCTGGTTGGAACACCGACTCAACTCGATCGTGCTAGCACTACACCGAGCTGATTGCTCTTGTTCGCAAGTCAAGCATGTAATGGAGCATTCAGTTGCATGTGTAACTGAACCCTTCATTTCACTCAGTAGCGTGGAGAAAAATATATTTCCAGCACTAACAGAAATCAGATACATCAGAACATGCACAGAAAACATGTATACTACACCATTGTTTGCACCATTGGTGCATCTTGTGCCTTGCTCTCATGCCATTCCATCTTATTTTGGTCCCCAGAAACTTCTCCATGCTTGGAGTCCTCGATGCGCCTTCGCACTTGCTCGTGTCGTTCCAGTGCACTCTCGTAAGGTGGAGTGCCCATGAATGACAGAAGCACTGGCAAAGTGCACAAGCCGTGCCACAGCCCAAGAAGCACTATCATCGAAAACATCTGCAGGGAAAAAAACGTTGGCAGTTAGAGACTGGTGCATGCATCTGTGTCCTGCTAAGTCCTTTTCCATAAGTGATGGGCACGGATCTGGTACTACCGTACGTTGGCAGGAGCAAGCGATGAGTCGTACCTTGAAGAAGGTTTGGAAGATGAAGGACTTGGCGAGTGCGAGGGGCAGCACAGCAAGGAACATAGTGAAACCTCCGTTGAACACCGCCACTCCCAGATGAGCCAACGCCTTGCGAGCACGCTCCTGCCTCGTCCCTACCTGCAAATTTCACACAACCCCACATCTCAGAATACGAGCGACGCAGCATGTATGTATAACATGCCGATCACTGCACTGCAGGCAGTGAACCACCATCTGACTGCAGCAGCTACAACCGGGGACTCATCAATCCAAAGCTGCAATGAAGGACTGGCTGGAACGCAGCAGCAGCTGACCCTACCACCAAAGTCTATCACCTGGGAGAGGAAGGAGTAGGCGGTGAAAGCAGAGTAATCGACGGCGATGCCGATTGCGAGGATGAGGTTGATGGACGTGACTGCATTGAAGGAGAGCCCCGCCCAGTACAGGAACCCCATCAGCTCGATGTCGATCATCGCTACCATGAGGCCCACTAGCACGCTGAGAGAGGCAGGAAAGGGAAGGGTAGGAATGTTTTTTCTCTAGGCCTCAAAAACCCGTCCAAAACAGGAACCCCACCAGCTCGATGTCGATCATCGCCACCATGAGGCCCACCAGCACACTGCGGAGGGGGAGGGGGAGAGAGAGGCAGGAAAGGGAAGGGCAGGAATGATTTTTGAGACACCGCAAAAACCCGTCCGGAACAGGAACCCCACCAGGTGGATGTCTATCATTGCCACTGTGGGGCCCACCAGCACACTGGGGAGGCAGGGGGAGGGCAGAGAGAGGCAGGAAAGGGAAGAGTGAGGGAGGACGCAGGAAGAGATGGGTTTGGACCGGATCATCAGAGGTGGAAATGGGCTCCGTCACTCCCACCCACAGGTGCGAATCATGCGAGCCAGACTCGCAAGCAAACGTGCTGTGTGATGTTGAGCTCGCAAGCAGATCCCAGACTGATGTTAAGCTCTTAGAACAAACTCCTCCCAACCAACACCACACGGTGTGGCCATGGCCCATGACTACTCTCAGGCCCACGCAGCCTCGCACCTGACGACCAGGTCCCCCAGCACAGGTGACTCTTGAGTCGACTCAAAAGTCACCTCGCAGCCTCGCACCTGACGACCAGGTCCCCCAGCAGCAGGAGCATGAGGAGGAAGACGACGGCAGCACAGAGCGCGACGGCGAGGATGGTGTCCCGCTGAATGACCGCGAAGCCCTCGAAGAAGAGGAACGGAAACGAGTATGGAAACGCGCCCAGCGCCGGCGCTGCTGCTGCCAGCGACGCCCGCATGGAGTGCATGGCGCTGACCTGAGGGAAGGAGAGAGGAGTGAGATGGTAGAGAGTAGAGAGACACAATTGCTGAGGGAGTGAGAAAGTTGGGGGGGGGGGGGTGGGGGGAGGGGGGATGAGAAAGGGCACTCTTACCAGGGCATTGGCAACACATTAGTGCAAGAGTTGAGACAGGATTTTTCAAACAACGTACAGGCCCAAGGTAAGTCATTAGGGCCAGATTTCAGGAGGAAACACAGGAGGGAAGTTTGAGAATTTGAGTCACCTCTGGACAATGATGTTCAAGGAGGGGCGCACCCACCTCCTGGGGGCTGTCGTTGAGGTTGGTGGTGAAGCAGAGCGTGCGAGACGCCTCCACCATCTTATATGGCTGCTCCAGCTGCGCCACCCCCGTGGGCGTGGTGGCGTGCGTGAGTGTGTCACGAGTGAAGAGCACGTCTGTGGTGAAGCGGCGGCCCTGGGGGGCCAGCAGGAACTGGTGCAGCCACGCATGGAAGAGAGGGGACGATGGGGGGCTGCAGGGGGGAGAGAGGGGGAGAGAGGGGGAGAGAGGGGGAGAGAGGGTGAGAGAGGGGGAGAGAGGGGGAGAGAGGGTGAGAGAGGGGGAGAGAGAGGGAGAGAGGGGGAGAGAGGGTGAGAGGGTGAGAGAGGGTGAGAGAGGGAGAGAGAGGGTGAGAGAGGGAGAGAGGGTGAGAGAGGGGGAGAGGGGGGAAGAGAGGGTGAGAGACGGCGAGAGATGGTGAGAGAGGGTGAGAGAGGTCAACTGCTAGGATTCTGCATTAAGTCGACTCAAAGAGCACAGGAGGAGAAACGTACCGCCCCTGCGCTGTGAGGTTGGCGGCATGTGTGGAGTTGGCCAGCCATGTGAGGTACGCATCGTACCACGTCACCACTGGCGGCGCTGATGACACGTATGGGTTGGACTGTGGCATGCACGCATGCACACACACACACACACACACACACACACACACACACACACACACACACACACACACACACACACACACACACACACACACAGGCACGCACGCACACAGACGCACACACGAACATGGAGTTATACACCGATAAGGATCGGTAGAGACTGATGGCCACCGATGAAATCCCATGCCATTCACATACCCCAATCATGCGGTGCACCTGCATGGTGGGGACACGCAACACAGCGTCTTGCTGCTCACAGAATCCACGCCCGCCACACCGCCCCACCCCGCACCCTCCCCATCCCTTCCATCCCACCTTCAGACTCGCAGTGACCGCCTGCATCTCATCCTGATAATAGAAATAGTCCAGCGGCGGCGACGCAGGGTTGGTGGTGTAAACGCCCACGGGCAGCGCGCCCTTGCCGAGGGCCGAGGTGAAGTAGGCGGAGCGGAGGGTGTAGACGTCCTTGAGATAGAAGCCGTTTGGGATGAACCACTCAATGTCAAAGTTCTGCTGCACGCGCACACTGCCGATCACCCCGAAGACGAAGATGGTGAGGGTTAGGGCGAGCACTGCTAGCTTGCCGGCTGGGTGCAGGATGATCTGTAGGGGGGATAAGGGAGGGGGAGGAGGGAGGGGGAAAGGGGGGAAGGGTGGGGGGGGAGGGGGAAGAGATTTGAGCAGGAAAAGAGGAGGAAGACGGAGCAGGAAAAGGAGATCCGGGGTATGGAGATGGAGCAATGACTTGGGAAGAAAGCTGAGCCGGCATTTGCAGAACCTGCAGCAGCACAGAACGGAACCAAGCCTCGTCAAAGAAAGTGTGGGTTACGCAAGTCCCGTCACCCCAGCCTCACCATGGGCAGCCACTGTCCGATGACGGTCTGTGCCACTCCCGGGCGGTTCCCATCATACTTGTGGCCGGGGCAGCACGAGTCCGTGGGCCCCGCGTTGCTGACGACGCAGCAGAAGGTGTCGCAGCGGTGTGCGCACTGGCGGCGCACATCGAGAGTGAGCGCGGCGACGAAGAAGGTGGACTGGAACACGAGCACGAGGATCACGCCGACTGCCGCGTAGATCATGAAGTCCCTGGGGTGGTGGGGACAGTGGGTAGTGGGTAGTGGGGTGGGGGAAGAGTTGGCGGAAGCGGTGCACCTGAGAGAGCAGCAGCAAAGCACCTGAGAGCAGCAGCAAAGCACCTGAGAGCAGCAGAAAATCACCTGTACAGCAACGGCAGCAGCCCACCTGAGTACAGGCAGGTCGGGGATGATCCCGGTGCAGAAGAGTCTATTTTTGAGGCGCCTCAAAAATAGACTCCCCACCTGAGAGCAGGCAGCTCGGAGATGATCCCGGTGCAGAAGAGTCTATTTTTGAGGCGCCTCAAAAATAGACTCCCCACCTGAGAGCAGGCAGCACGGAGATGATCCCGGTGCAGAAGAGTCTATTCTTGAGGCGCCTCAAAAATAGACTCCCCACCTGAGAGCAGGCAGCTCGGAGATGATCCCGGTGCAGAAGGCGACGAAGTTGGTGAGCGCCGCCACGATCACACCGCGCCGCGCCCGCGATACCGTGGCCACCACCCGGTCCACCACGGACGACGTCGCCAGGGGGTACTCACGAGCCGTCTGCACCGGGTGGGGGGGGGGAGGGGAGGGGGAAGAAGGGGGAAGGGAGGGGGGAAGGGAGAGGGGAAGGGAGGGGGAGAGGGGGGAAGACAGGGAATGGGAAAGAGGTAAGGAAGGGATGGAGGAGATGCCAGGAGAAGGACGGTGAGGGGTCATGAATGGCGAGGAATAGTAAGCGCAACCCCTCCCTCCTCACACCCTTTGACCTTCTTTCTTTTGAATCCCGTTTCCTTGAACCCTCCCCAATCCCTCTCGCATTCCCTTCCCTCTCCCACCCTTTCAGCCTGCCTCCCTCCCTTCTCCGCACCTCTTCATGAGCCGCCATGGTCACGAGCATGTCATCTGTGCCCAGCCCCAGCAGCAGCAGCGCCAGCACCTAGCGTTAAGGGGAGAGGAGAGAGAGAGGAGACAGAAAACGGTTTCAGGCGGCTCAGAACGCAGCAGGCATGGGCGAGAGCGGCAGGTGAGACCGTGAGAGTGCCAGGGAGGGGTCATTGAGGGAAGCCAGCGAGCCTGGGAACATGCTGTGGGGAAGGGAGCATCACCAGTAGCGACACCATGGTGCGGGAGGGCATGCCGTGTGAAGAAGGAAGCATCGAGCTGGCCTCACCTGGTTGACCAGGCCGAAGCCGAGCCTGCACAGCTGTGCCGCGCTGCGAGTGGTAAACAGCGAGTGGCGAGCAGCAAGGCCCAGGGAGGAAGCAAGTGCCGCACCTGGCTGACGAGGCTGAAGCCAAGACCCACGAGGCTGCAGAGCCCGTAGGCGCTGAAAGCGGCGAGCCCCACAGACACCACGTTCACCAGCCCCATGTACGCACGTGACTCCACCGGGTGCGGCTTCGATAGGATCACCAGCCCATACAGGAACAGCAGAAGGTAGCTGGGGGGGGATGGGGAGGTGGAAGAGAGAAGACAGGCGTGGTATGGGTAGAATCAGCAGCAGGTAGCTGGGGCGGGGGAGGGAGGGGGGAGAGAGGAGGAAGGTGTAGGTTCGCTAGGAAAGTGCGCCTGCAGAGGAGAAGCAGAAGGGGGTTGAAGGGCGGGTGGGGCCAGGAGGGACAGAGCGCAAGGAGAAAGGAAGGAGGTGTCGGAATCGAAGGAATTTGGATGGTTTGGCATGCTATGCCATGATGGCAGAGCATGGCTTGACATTGCATGGCATGGCATGGCGCAGCATGGCATGACATTGCACGGCACAGCATGGCCCGCCTCACCCTGCCATGAGCATGGAAACATCGCTGTAGATGGCAGTGTCACTCGTATCATTCTCGTCCCACGGCGACAGCACATACACATCCACTGCCTCGCTCTTGTACTGGGCGGGGGAGGGGGAGTGGGGTGTGCGGGGAGGGAGGGGAGAGAGGATATGGGAGGGTGGGAGGGAAAGGTAGTAAGAGCTGTCAGATGAGATGTATGCTCTTGTTCGTGCATGTGAAGGGTGGGACTTAACGCATGCCAGAACCTGCACTCCCACATCCCTCCCTCCCTCCCCCCCACTGTACCCACCGCTTTGATTAGGGGCACCAGCGCCTTCTGCCACGCCTGCGTGTACGGGTCCACGCTCGAGCTGCCACGGCCCTCCCGGTTGTTCTGCAGCCACACCGTCAGCCGCATCGCCTTCACGTCCACCACCGCCCCCATGCCGCTGCCCGCGCCAGCTGCTCCCGACACAGTGCCCGAGCTGCTGTTGCTGCTGCTGTTACCAGCGGTGGCAGGGGCAGCAGCAAGGGGCGGGCCGCGAGTGACGAGGCCGAACACAGACTCGGGGGACAACGGCTGCCCCAGACGGTTCTGATGGCAAGGGTAAGAGGGAAGCAGGGGGTTGGAAGGGAGGAAGCGATGGTGAGAGAGAGAGTGAGAAGGATCATCCGAGAGTGAGAAGGGCGCTGGGCGGGGCTGGGGAGGAGGGCCGTGGGGAAAGGGGGTGGGAGACGGGGAGGGCGACGACTTGGGAGGAATATCCATCCAACAGCAGCAAGCGGCAGCAAGAGGCAGCAAGAGGCAGCAAGAGGCAGCAAGAGGCAGCAAGGGGCAGCAAGAGACAGCAAGAGGCAGCAAGAGGCAGCAAGAGGCAGCAAGAGGCAGCAAGAGGCAGCAAGAGGCAGCAAGAGGCAGCAGGCAGAGAGAGTGCGCACCACAGCACGAGGGTTGTTGATGGTAGCAAGCAGGTCCGTGTCGCTGCGAATGGCCGCCTCGCTGTACCCCCAGTAGTCCAGCGGGCTCTCCACGCTGCACGGCGACCTGGGCCCCCCCGGGCGGTAGCAGATGCGCGGGCTCACCAGAGAGAAGCTCGACCCGTTGAATGATACTGTCAGGCTGGTGGGGTGGTGACACAAAGAGGTCACGGGGGCAAAGGATCATGGGGGAGTTTAGCCCGGTTCTGAGGTGCGAGGAGATGGAAGAGTGGGAAGAATGAGAGGAATCAAGGGGAGATGGAGGACGGGGGGGAGGGGGGAGGAGCAGACGCAGGGGTTGGGGGTGGGGAGGCAAAGCGGCAGGGAGTGTAGTGAGCGGTGGAAGCAGGCAATGCCATGCATCTTTTACAATTGTGAAGTACACGGTGTTGCGCTGCACACCGCGTCGCGTCGCACACGGCGTGTGATGTCTCACGGCAGTGGGGTGATGGTGAGGCAGTCTCTCACTTGGCCATGAGGCGGTACACGTCGAGCAGCGTGAGCAGCGCGGGTTGCGTGAGCACGCTGCTGTTGCTGTCGCCCTTGCCCACTGCGTACACCTTCACGTCCAGCGGCTCGTACCCAAACCGCTGCTCCACATAGTCCTGCCGCCCGAAAAGAAGTGGAAAAAGGCATGTTCAATGGGGGGAGGGAAGGGGGAAGCGCGGAGGGATCGTACCCAAACTGCTGCTTCACGAAGGGAGGCCGCCAAAGGGAGCCACGACCAGGCGGAATAACCATAGTGTAGTATTCAAGCCAAGCGCACAACCAAGCGCAGAGCCAAACGCAGAGCCATTGCAGAGCAACAACTGTGCAGTTGAATCCAGTTTCCGGCGGCTCACCCGGTCTTTAAACGCCATGTTCTTCTGCGGCGTGTAGAGCGCCTCGTAGTCAGTCACCACGTTGATGCGCGCCAGCCCCGCGCCCATCAGCAGCCCCAGCGCCCCCATCACCGCCAGCACCGCCACCGGCCGCTGCGCCACCGCGCGCGCTATGGCGCCGAAGAGCGCGATCAGCCCGCGATCCACGGCGCCCCCCACGGCGCGGATGCCGAAGCGCCGCCGCCGCTGCTTGTTCTGCCGCGGAGGGGGCGGCTCCTCTTCGCCATCGTGGTCGTGGTCGTCGTGGTCGTCGTGGTCGTCATCCTTTGCGGTCTTATCAACGGGAAGCGGAGCGTCAGTGGCGGCCGCGTTGCTGATGGCGTCGTCTTTTTTGGGGAGTGGCAGGTCGCCATTGTTGTTGCCATTAACATTGGCAGTGGCATTGCCCTTGCCGTTGACAGTTGAAGTTCCAGCGCCACTGCCGTTGGGAGAAACGGCTTGATTCGCCGACATCATCATGGCGTCGCTAGCGACTCGCCTCGAGCTGCCGCTGCACCCGAGGGCAACACCAGTGGGGAGGGACTCCGCCATTTTCGCCGTTAAGGAACAGCCACTTTTTGCTTTCTTTCTTTTCTTTCTTTTCTTGTAAACGGGACTGTCGTTGGATTGGAGGCACCGCCAGGAGGACGGTATCCCCAGAACCGTTACGGAACAGCCTCTTTCTCGACGCTGCGATGATGGCAAATGCAGGAGCCGCGTGCAAGAGGTAACGAAAAAAGGTTTCTTTGCTTGATCTTGAGTCGCGTCAACGCCGCGGCGACTCTCGCCGACCGTCGATAACCGATTGCCTTTTCTTTCGAGAGAGCCCGCGCGGTTTCGGATTCCCAGCCCAGGCTATACCGCGTATCACGTCTTCCAGGAGGGAGCGCTGCGGTGGGGAACCTTGGTACAAGAGGATGACTTTTTATGCGTGTGGTCCAAGACAGCTGGCTTGGCTTAGGAGGAATTTGTTGCTCAGATTTTGAGGGATTTGGAAGTGATGGAACGGGAAGAAGTGGTTCGGATTGTCTTTCACCACATGGAAACGCTCTGTAACGTTTTGGAAACACAGGTCAACGAACCTTATTAACCTTATTCACCGATAGGGATTTTTCTGTTTATTCGTGTCGTGTCAGCAGCGCCCAATCCAATCAGCGCCCCTCACGTCCCAGCAGCACCCCTGGTCCCCTGTTTTGTCCGCGTGGAACGAGTCAGTTCAGTTGGGCTGAGGTGAGGAGAATGCAGTGGTGTTTGCAAAACTTATGTACTGTACAAGTCATATGCCTTGTAGACGACACCCTTTTACGCCCAGAAGTATTCCATAGGCGATGTATCCTTGTACGCAAAGTGTACCCGTGTCATGTGAACAGTTCTCCTTACAGTCAATTGGCAAGATTTTTCGATAACCAATCAGTGTGGTCGTGCGACGACTTTCAATGGCAGGCGATCTGACACTGGCTGTTTGTGTCAGACTCGTCAACCAATGTTCAAAGCCGAATCCACATCACTTTTGGAAAATCAAACAACCACAAGACCAGCCATTTATGTTCCTCCACGTTTGCCCCACAAATTGTGTGAGTAATGTTGCTACAGTGTCGTGAGCTGATTACAATCAGGGGCACGTTTTACATGACTCCGAAATGAATCCGGACGCGCAAACATGACTGGTCACCGCTCTCGTCGAATTTCGCCTACCCCGTCTATTTGCGCTTCGGAATTTTTCTCAAATGTAAACGTCTTTTCCTTGTTCTTGATAGAGCGCATTGAATGTTGTGAGGAATATGAAAAATTACCATGAACCCTGAGTTGACGCGCGTGCGACTTGGTGAACGACACCTGATCGCAACAAACGCCAACACTGCCGACCATGAACAGTTCATAAAATCCAAGCAAAAAAAATCTTGCGACACGCCATAGCCCCGTTTGCCCGAGCATATTCCATGTACGCCCAATGCCCCGAGTCGCCCCCCGGGTGATAAGGGAAGATGACTTGTAGCTCGAATTTCAGTTCAGCGAAACATATACAGTACTCTATAAATGTTTTGCCAGGCGAAAGTCAATCGCAACTTTGTAGTAGCCAAATTGAGAAGCCCCCGAATCTCGTCCTCGCTAGAAGCGTTTCGTCAGAACCATCCACCCATCCATCCACGCACTTTCGTACGGAACAGCTGCTGCGTGGAAGACAGCATCCGCGTCAGCTTTTGTCGGCTTCGCAACCAAACAGTGCTTGACTGTCACGATTGCGTCAGCAGCAGGTGCCTCCCAGAAGGCTCAGGCACGTCAGCAGCTTCTTTGTGCATTCGTGAGTTGTCGTCACCTGCACTCAATACTTCTAATACACCGGGTGCGCACCCAATAGCCCGGATTTCGACGAGCCGCGTGGGCGTAATGCGCGCACTTTTTTAGCCAGCCTTCGCCATGGGAGAATGGGCTGTTGAATGGAAACTTGTGCTTTCGCGAGCTCCTTTGCATGGACACTTTCGCCACCGCCGTGTCGCAGGTGCCACAAAACCCCGATGAATGGGCCATCAGGCAAAAGGGCAGTTTCCCGTGATTGGCGGCGGATGGGCGTAGATTGGGGGGTGGGCCCGGTCAAATTTCCGGGACTCCCTGGACACCTCGTATATCGGTACAGCTGGAATGCTGTAAACTCCAAATCCCCGACTCGCAAATATGGAGTACGACGAATAGGGGCGGTACACAACGAGCAAATTGGATACAAGGGGTATGCACTATGCTCCAAATCTGCGACTCGCAGATATCGACTAAGTCGAATAGGGCCCGTACGGTAGGGGCAAAATGGACTAACGAGTGAACATGGGGGTCGGAGTGACTTGTCTGTTATGTTTTGTTCATAGAAGGGTGCCCGGTCCGATGCTGCGACAATTTGAGTTTTCAAGAGACACGTTGGATTTCAAACCCCGTTGCATTAAAAAGATTCGAACACACACAACAAAGTGTCCAACAACACTGAAACACTCAAACCCACGCACAAAGGCAAGAAACGACACATCAGCATTCACACAAGGAGTGACACGGGACTACAACCGTGTAACAACAAAACTCTCAAGCGCACAACTAAACTAAAAGAAGGGTAATCAAACGCGCCCGGCCCAGCAAAAGTAAGCACACTCCCGAAAGCAAGCGCAACTGAAAAACACACACGTCGGGAAGGAATCCAGTGCTCTCTCAGCGCATCCACTCAGCCGAGTCCACCCAGTCGTCCATGATGGCCGTCGCCTGGAGCACATGCTGCCTGTACTCTTCCGAAACAACCCCTGAAGCAGAGTTCAGGTCCAAGCGCGGGGATGCGCGTTCAAGACGCTCAATCAAAGTAGTGAAATGTTTGAATTCGAAGTTACAACGTATGGAATAAAGCGGGCAACACAAGCAACAGCAACAATGACGCAATCGCAAATAACACGCACTACGTTTAAAAGGACGCTTACCTGGCTTGTCATCCAGCCGGAACCGTTGCTGCGCCAAAAGCACTCCGTCGCAGGATTGAATTTCTTCTGTGCGAAGAAGCGCGGGTTGGCGGTTTTGCTCACAACAAGCGGCTTGTACATCTGCGAGCCGTCGGCGTTGCACATCAGCGCGATAGTTAAGCGGGCCTTCCTGTTTTTGCCGCCACTCACAGGGCCATCTGCGAATGTCATTTTCGGAATTTGTTTCCAAGCGCATCCAGTCTCGTCGTAGTTGAAGCAGTCGCGAGGCGCGACGGCGAGTAGAGTGAGCAACTGCGGGCATGTGGCCTTCATCGTCATCACTGCGCCGAAGTCCTGGTCGTTAGCTTCGCCCTGCTTGGTCCGCCACTTGTATCCCATCTGCTTCAATGCTTTCTGCACCCATCCGACGCTCGCTTTAAATCCAACCGGCACTCCGGCGTTAGGAGCCATAATCTTGGCTCGTTGCTGGATGACGCTGATGGTGATTGGCAGCCCACCCATTGCCGCCCGACCCAACCATGACTTCAGCCGCTGCTCAATCAGGGGATAGAAGGCGGAACGCAGACGTTGAGTGGCGGAGTTCTCTGGCCCAAGTGCCTTCCATTTGTCCGCCTCCTTAAGGATTTTCCCCACGGTGCTAGGGTCGGGATAAATACCGTATCTCGTAAAACACCACCGAGCGATGTCGGCAAGTCGAAGGTGTGAATGCGCTTCAGCATGTCGGCAGATTCCGACCTTCATCGCAATCGTCAGCGATGTTCTCCTGAGTAACCTCATTGTGACCACTTGATTGAGCCACGTAACGTAGTTTCGTCGCTGTTTAGCCGCTGATGTGGCGGAGTGTAAATACGACCTCTGTCGGCCTCCTCAACCGACGGGGTACGTAGGCATGCTCATGCCAGCGCGCATGCAAAATTGCCTGCTGGACAGGGGTACTAGCGTGCTGTCTGCGATTCTGCGTTTTCTCCCAAGGTCCGTCGCGATTACGTAGCATCGCCTTGGCGCGCGCGTATTGGCTGGGCAATTCCGAACGCAATTCACGGGGATTTCACGAGAACGCACATGCGGGTTGATTGGCAACGCTCGCACGATGAAATCGCACCCAATTCGGGAGGCGCGGTTTGCTGGTCGGTGACACCATGCGATTGCGGTGACTGGTCAATATTTTAATTGCACCTTTTTAGCGAAGTCTAACAGTAGATGTATACCGTACAGACGGAGTACATCGTGGTGGATCTTATCAAATTCTTGACCTTGGAGTATTATATGGAGTACAATGTCATGGACCTAATGGCATACCCGCTGTAATAGAGTACACCTAGCTCGCGGTATTTTAACACCAAGTATTTTCACAGAGGGTGTCATCGAGAGGGTATTCACCCCGCGAAAGCAGCTCCTGAAGACCAGATCCAGAGACCCTTGAAAACAATTTGAGATTGGGTTTCTATACTAAATGTTTCCTACTCGATTTAGTGTTTCTCGAGTGAAGAAACCCGACGTCAGGTTAGGCAATACTCAAAGTTTTTGCCCTCGTGGAGTCTTCCAAGCTTAGGCCATGGGGACAAAGAGGTACTCTCTACGCAATCAGAAATGGTCAGAGTGGAAACAAATCGCCAAGTTTCAGGGTGAGAAATTACCGCGTGCCAAGTGTAGCAATAGAGATTTTAAGTGGGGTAGCGTAGGCCGTTTTACTCGCTTTGTTTACGATTGGTGCCTTCGCGAATTGGCCAATTGAGCCAGGTTTCCAGCAAATTCGGCGAGTGTCATGTGGCCTCTACAAAATCGCACAACGAATCTGTCGTCTGGTAAAAAACACGCGGACGAAAAAAGTCACACCTCGTTCTCGAACTTCCCGCAAGCTGCGCAGGCTCATAATGCGCATAAAAAATAATAAAACGAAAACGGCTAAATGGAACGAACGATTAACAACTTTATCGAGGGTTTTCGTTAACCAATCATAAGTATTTACGAAAGTGATAGAGACCCCTTAGAGAAAATCATTTACGAAATGAGCAGATGTTTGAAGAAACTAGGGTCGTATTTCTGTATTCGAGACACCCCTATTCGTATCATTATAGAAGCCCCAATATGTCCATAATCGGTTCTCCAAAATGGCAGATGCCTCGCATGCTATTGACACGAGGATTTGAATACGACCATTATCGTGAGACAGAATGGATGGAAAATGTTTGCACAGTACACGTGCATGCGTACAGCTTGCTGGTAGTCCAACTGGCGACATTATATTGGCCCTACGGTCGCCATCTGGATTGCGACCCCAGTTCATTGCGACTGGGTGGCATACAGAGCGGTATTGGATTTCGGCAAAATAATCGGCGAGTTTCTCTCAGAGTAGGAGAATGAAACAAGAAAGAAGGGTTCACGGTAGTTTTGACCTAATGCGCTGTACTTTCTAAGGCATGCCCCTATCTAGGCAATAGTAACATATACAAAATATATTTGACACACCCGCTAGACTGGACAAGGGGTAGTGACTGGCAAGAGACAAGCAACTCAGTGTGGTAGTACTTGTCCAACCTCTGAGACAAGGGTACGAAGACCAGTCAACAAGAGTACAAACTCGACAAGAGCAAACCAAGGCGGCACTACTAGTCCAGCCACTGGAAGAGAAGCCACAACGCCAGTCAATAAGGCATATATAAAGAGTAGTGAACAATCAAGATCCTAGCAAATAATGAGCTACAGGAACCAAACCAAGCTGCAAACAGTGCCGCTGATGATCTCTACGTGCCAACGCATTAGCAAAGATATCGGCTATGTTGGCACCGGAGGCCAAGTGTACTACGCGGGCTGGGCGGCGCTGCTGTAGCTCGTGCAGGAGGAAGTACCGCAGATGGATGTGCTTTGCTCTGCACTCGAGTGGAGGATCATGGCCATGTTGTCAGCGTACAGGACCGGGGCAGAGCTAGGCCGCTCACCTAAGTCGGTGAGCAAGAAGGTCAGCCACCGGAGCTCCTGTACCGCCATGATACCGGCGTAGATCACAGGCTTACAGCTAGACTGGGCAACAGATGACGAGCGAATGGACCTCCATGAGATGGCACCAGAACCAAGGCTAAAGCAGTAGCCCTAGGAGGAACTGAGGATCTCAGCGTCGTCTGCCCACGAAACGTCTGTATGCCCTGTAAAAGCCTACCAGTGCTGTGGTCGGTGTCTCCTTGTGGCCACAAAGCGAGCTAGGATGCTAAGAGGGTATGCGAGATCTGGACAAGTGTAAGTCATCAGGTACATGAGGCAACCCACCAACTGTGCATAAGGACCACTAGGCTCTACGAACTCCTCAAGAACTGGAGCAGAGAGCCTGTGGTCTACTTGCAAAGGTGTGGGCTGTACAGAGGAGAACTGAAGACCGAACCGCCGAAGGACCTGGTGCACCAAGTGTGACTGTGTGCGAATGATGGTGCACGCTGCTCTATCCCTGGGGATCTGCAGGCCAAGCTAGTGATGCAACTCTCCTAGGACAAGAGAGACAGGACGAGCACGAGAGGGACAACGAGACTAGAAGTGGGACGGAGGTGTCGGGTCAGGAGACACAGGAGGATTTACAGGAGAAGAACGACGGGGGAAACGAGCTGGGGGCGAGTCCGACGGAGGAAACACAGGGTCTTAGAGAGGCAGGGGAGGTGGCAGCGAGACAAGCGCAGCCGGGTGGTCAGGGGAGGGAAGGCTGAGAAGGCGAAGTGCGGACACCGGTGGCGACTGCTGCTGCTGCTGCTCCACGCCGACACAATATCCTCCATCTGCACGACGAGTACGTCCTGAACGCTCCAATCCAACACCCTCAGAACTACAACCCTCTCCAGTACCGATGTCATCCCTGAGACCGCCGGGACAAGCCACGACAATAACCCCAGGACTAGCACCCCAAGAACCAGCACCCCAAGGACCAGCACCCTCCTCAACGCCCACACTCCCAGAGCTCACGGATGGCTGCTGCTGCTGCGGCTGCGACGACGGCTGAGGCTATTGCTACGGCGGCGACGGCTGCTGCTACGGTGGCGATGGCTGCTGCAACGGCGGAGGAGGGGATACAGGGGGAGAAACAGGCAGCAAAAACTGGGCCGCGGGGCCACGAGAGTCAGCCGTCTCCTTGACCGGGATAACCGACGGGAGGGGAGTGACGTGAGACACACCAGACGGAGCAAGACAGGGAGGGAGGGGAGAAGGGGCTACTAGGGGAGTGGGTACCAGAAACAGGGGCGGGGAAACCGGGAGACCTCGGTGAGGAAAGCTGTGATAGAAGGAGGCAAACTCGTCGAAAGTGACGTCACGCGAGTGAAAGAAGCGGTGACACGACAGGTGGTAAAAGTGACAGTCTGACGAGTCAAGGGGGAAACCAAAAAAGACACAGGGGACAATGCGAGCAGTAAGTTGTCCGGACGTGAGCGAGGCAGCCCTAGACTTGGAACGCGCACGCATCACCAAGGAACCCGGTCCAGAGAAGGGTCGGCGAAACCTACGGCCGCTGGGAGTGTGGCCACAGGTTAAGCTGGTGAGCGGCGTAGCGAACGGCGAACGGCCACAGAAAACGGGGTGCACCGGCATGGATCATGGAGGTACGAGCCACCTCCCTGATCAAAGCGATGCGTTACTCAGCGACCCCATTCTATTGCGGAGAGTCTAGTAGGGTGTACGACTGGGTGATGCCCTCCGCACAAAAGAACTGTCCAAGCCGAGCGAAGGCGAACTCGACGCCAGGGTCGAAGTGGAGACATAGCACGGGGAGACCGTGGTGGACGCGCGCAGCCACGACCCACTGGATAAGAACCTCAAGCACGTCAGCCTTCCGCTCCAGGGGGAACATGGTCGTATAGCGCGTATAGTCGTAGACAAGCACTAGAAAGTAGCGCTCTCGACGCGGGCCAAGGAAGGGGGTTGGGCCCCAGACATCTAGGTGCAGGGTCTGGAGTGGCACGGTGGCAGGGCGAAGCGAGGAGGAGTAAGGAGCACGGTGAAGCTGGCCCTCGACGTAGGGCGTGCACGGTGGCGCGGACGAGGGAGGGAGGGCAGGGAGCGACGCAGGGACAAGACCGTGCTGAGACATGTGACCCAGTCGCGGGAGTGCGGGGTGACCTAGGCGGTGGTGCCATAGAAACGACGGGTGAGTGAGCGACCGACATGAGCAAGCCGCAGCAACCTGGGTAGACGTAGGACCCGGGGAGGACGCGCCCACCGAGGGGGAAGCAGTGTCCAGCGTAAACAGACCAGACACCGGGTCCCGAGGGAATGTCGCAAGGGGGGCACCTGAGGCGACCTCGGTACAGACAACATGCCGCTCATGACCAGGGAACGTAGTGGTGACGCCGAGGTCTTGAAGACAGCCGACACCAACTAGACTCCACGAGAACGAAAGGATGTGCAGGCCTATAAGAGAACCCGAGGGAACTGCTTGACAGAGAAGGGTAGTGTAGCTACGGGCAACGACAGGACCAGAGGAGGGGTCAGCAAGCCCGATAGCGGCAGGTGCTGCAAGTGACGTCAGCGCAGCGTGATCGCGGAAAAAACAGGGAGACGCGCCAGAGTCAAGCGTAAAGGAGAGCGAAGCGGAAGCTGTAGCCGGTGGAGGAGGGAGCGTGGAGCCCAGACTTAACAAGGCCGAAGGTCCTACGTCTGACGCAGCAGGGGAGTCTGTACTACACACAGGAAACACACCTAAATTAGGCAACACAGAGTAATAAGATTCGGGCACACTAGAAGCATCAGCATACAGGGAATGCACAGTAGAACAAATCTTATCCATGTCTAACTCAAATACAGGCACACCGTGGCGCAAAAGACTGACCCAATCACAGAGGTCCAGCGCCGGCTGAAGCGGCGACGAAAGAGGCCGTCGAGGCGGCGGAAGCTGGGGGCGGTAGGGTGGGGGCGACGACACACAGTGCCGCAGAGGTGGCCGATCTGGAGCTGGTACTGGTAGCCCCCGGCGCCGAAGGGGTCGGCAGGGCGCGAAGGGCTTGGTGGGGCGCGAAGGGGGCCAGCGGGGCGCGAGGGGCCGGCGGGGCGCGAAGGGCCTGACGGGGCACGTAGGGAACGGCCAGCGGGGTGCTAAGGCCAGCGGGGCGCTAAGGACAGCGGGGCGCTAAGGACAGCGGGGCGCAAGGTGAACAGCGGGGCACTAAGGCTAGGGCTAGGGCAGAAGCTGGTGGGCAGACCTAACCTAAGCTGATACCATCTCAGAGTAGCAGAAGGAAACTAGAAAGAAGGGTACACGGTAGTTTTGACCTAGTGTGCTGTACTCTCTAAGGCAGGCCCCTATCTAGGCTATAGTAAGATATACAAAATATGTTTGACGACAGTTTCGTCCAGCCACTCCCAAATCGCAAGGGGCCTCGTCAGAGATTTCTTTGGCAAACGGGGCATTTTGCGACGTTGACTGTACGCACTTCAATATCTGTACGCCATACGATCAGAGTACAGTACAGCGTGTTGGATCCTACCAAATTATGGACGGTAGGATTGTATCTGGATAAAAGTGTTGAGGCTTAATGGCATATCAGCTGTACAACAAATTCTCCAAAACTTTGACATAATACAATTCAATACATACAGTTCACAAACCTAAATGGGCTTTTTCGAAACTACTTCCGCAGCTCCAAGGTCAGGTGTGAAAAACCATGGATAGCCTTGTGCCGGTCAAAGAGAGCCTTGACCTCGCCATAATAATAATCCCTGATCGTGCACAGGTCTTCGTATGATGGCTCCTCGTTATTTGTGGGAATGAGAGACCGAGGATCAAATGGTCGGCCCACCACCAAGGTCATAGGGCAAGCGCGAGGGAGAGGAAGGAAACCAAACAACCCAACAGGCCAAAAGGGAATCGGGAAGCCAAATCTCCTATAAGTAAACCGCTGCACAAAGCAATTGAGTGGTGAAGATACGAAGACAGGCAGGGGGGGTGATGGAATGGAGTGGAAGGGGGCACAGTTGGGGGAAGAGGCAAGCATGTTTGTCAGAATTTTGTTGAAGGCTGAAGAAACGATGGGACAAGAAGGAAGAGCTGGCGTGGTGCCTGGGTGGGTGCTGCACATACCTGCAGGGTGGGCCAATGAAAGAGGTTGTCGAAGGAGTGCGGCTCGCCGAAGCAGATGGTGGGCACGAGCAGTGCGTTGGTCTGCAGGGCGATGCGCACAAAGCCGATCTTGCGCGCACACAGCACGATGGACGACGACTGGTTCGTGGCGTGGTACGTCAGCTCCGACTGGGGGGGGCGAGGGTGGGACACATGGCATGGGGTGCATGGGGAAGGCAGGCAGGAAGCACAGCAAGGTGTTAGGGTTAGAACAGGTGACTGAAAGCTCTACAACAACCAAGCAAACAATATTTTGGACGGGGATGGGGATGGGGATGGGGATGGGGATGGGGATGGGGGAAAGGGAGGAGGAGGGGAGGGGGGGGAGGAGGGATGGTGAGTATGGGAGGGAGTAAGGGGCCAAAGAATGGGTTTGGAGAGTGGGAAAAGTTTGGGCAAGGAGCAGAAGCAGAAGGGGGTTGATTGTCCCCACCTGTCCCCCAGGGCAGAGCACGGCCGCCCCCGTGTCCTTGAGGGCCGTGAGGAAGCCCTCCCGCGACACCTCCCGGAGGCCGCCCCACAGGCAGTAGGTGCGCGCGAGGGGGATGCGGAAGCACACGGACGCCACCAGGGGGATGGGGCGGATGGCGGGGAAGTGCGCGCGGAAGGCAGACGACAGGGGAAACCACGCCATCACTGCTGGCATCAGCCCGTGCGGCTGGTGGGGGGGGAGGGAGAGGGGAGGAGAGGTGGGCAGAAGATGGTGAGGGGAGGAGCAAGCTCTGGCTTGTGGAGTTAAGAAGAGGGAGGGAAGGAGAAGGGAACAAAATGGTGTCTTCACTATGGTTACCGAGCTAAGGCTGGTGGCACGGGGGGGCATGCTTACATGGTAGGTGAATATGAGTGGGCGGGAAGAAGTCGCTGCAGTGACCTCACTGCCCTGGCCCTCTGCAGACTCCGTTCCACTCCCTCCACTCTCTCCCTGCTCCTCCACCTCCTCCTCCTTGTTCCCCCCTTGCTGCTCCCTACTCTCCCCTGCGCCTTCCATAGGCCCGAATGCACCCTCCTTCACAATGCTGATCCCATGAAAGTATGCTGCCGCTGCCTCCTCCAATAGTGGCATCACTCTGGTAGGGAGAGACGGAGCGAGAGGGGGGAAGGAGAGGAGAGGAGAGGAGAGGAGCGTGGAGCTGAGGAAAGCACACCATGGCGGCGGCAAGGAAAAGGGAGAGTGAAGGAGAGGGAAGGCGGTGAACGAGGAAAGCGGACGAGGTAAGAGAGGGAGGGGGGTGAGTCACAGGCGCCAAAAAGGTATAATATCTCCAAAAGAAAGATCCATGATCTATCCCTATGGCAGATCAGGTCCACTCCTCGAAGAAATAACACCTCCCCCTAGGGAAAGCACATTTCCAGGAGGAAATCAATTTAATAATACCCACTAGCAGCGCAACACGGCAAGTCAGCGACTCACATGTTCTGGATCCACTTGCGCTCGCCTCGCCCCGACCGCTCGTACCCCCCCGGGCATATCGCACAGTAGGCAAAGACCCATGCCATGGCTGTCAGCACCGCTGCACTGGCCGCGCGCAGCGCACACACCACCTCGCCGTAGCTAAACGCACTGAACCCATAACTGTCTCCAGAGCTGTGAGTGAGACTGCTGTTGGTGTTGTTGATCTGGTGCTGCTGATGGGCGGTGCTGCAGTGGTGCGCGGGCAGCAGGGCGCGCAGCAGCAGGGGGGTGAGGAGAGCGGCGATGACGTAGTACTGCCAGCAGTACAGGCCCGACACCATCACCGTGCTCCGCGCCCTCACTGCCGCCCACCACACCATCTCACGCACACTCAGTGGCTGTTGCGTTGTACCGCCGCTGCTACTGATAGCTGAATCGCACACACCACCACTGATGCTGCTGCTGCCGCTGCTGCTGCTACCAGTGCTGCTGCTGCTGCCGCTGCTGCTGCTACCAGTGCTGCTGCTGCTGCCGCTGCTGCTGCTGCTTCTACTCATGTTGAAACTAGTGTCAGTTGAAGCCGTCACTGAAGACCCACTATCACTGCCACCACCACCGTGTCTCACTCCTGCATCCTCCCTATCACTCTCCGCCTCCCCTCCTGCCTTTCCCAGTAAGTCCCGCCCTTCCCCCAAGCCTCCTCCCCCTACACGCCCCACTAGAGCATCCTTAACTCTCATCATTGCCGCTCCAGCTACCTCCCTGGGCCCCCTCGTGGCCACAAAGAGCTCTCTCTCCGTCCAATGCGGCGGCCGCACCGCCACTGCGCGCCAAGCCACGCCTGCCACTGTGCCCTGCACGCTACCCCCCCCAGTGCATGCCATTTCCGTCACGGAAGGAGCAACGGCTGCTGCTGCTGCTGCTGCCGGTACTCTTGCACAAGCAGGAGCAAGAGCAGGAGGAGCAGGGGGAGCAGGAGTAGGAGGGAGAAGGGCAGTAGTGGCTGCGGTGCTGCTGACGGCACTGCCGGAGCACTCATCCACATCCCTCCCTGCTGCTGCTGCTGCTGCTGCTGCTGCTGCTGCTGGCTTTGCTGCGGCAGCGGCAGCGGCAGCGGCGGCGCGCGAGGAGGGGGACTCGAAGGCGAGCAGCGACGCCATGAGCAGGAACTCGGAGGCGAGGCCCGTGGCGCCCGCCGACGCCAGCAGCCCGTAGCCCAGCGTGGTGTGCCCCACGAACGCCGCCACCACCGCCACGGACGAGAAGATGAGCAGCGACAAGGAGAAGAGCGTCCACGCCATGGCCTGGAGGGGGGGGGGGGAGGTGGTGGCGAGGGTGGGGAGAGAGGAGGGAGGGGAGTGGGAGTGAGGGAGAGGCGAAGAAAGCGAGGGGAGGCCGCAGGGGAGAGAAGACGAGCAGAGAGAAGGAGAAGAGCGCTCACGCCATGGCCTTGGGGGGGGGGGGGAGGTGGTGCAGGCGAAAGGGGGGAAGAGGGAAGAGGGAGAGAGCGAGTGAAGAAGAGAGCGAGAGGAGCGCCCACGCCATGGCCAGGGGGGGAGGGCGCGTTGCAGGAGAGGATGGGGGGGGGGGGGGGAGCTGGGGGGAGCGGGTGTAAAGAAGAGGAGAGAGAGCAGGGGTTTAGGAGAGCACAGAGAATTGTCGGCATCGGCTCACCTGTATGAGAACGAAGCGCAGTCCGCCGACGAACGGCTGCCAGAACATCCACGCCAGGTGGCGGTACCTCATTCGCCCGCCCAGCCCGTGCGTGAGCAGCGCGGCGCAGCACAGCCCCGACGCGCTCAGCAGCGCCGCCATCGCGACGACGAAGTTGAAATTCACGAAGCCATGGAAATTCGTCGCGGCGCCTCCTAACCCCATGGCGCCAGAGGAAAGCGCGTCGCGGACGCCGACCGACTCATAATCGAGCCCATCAGCCGATAGCTTGAGGGGCGACACGGGAGCGGAAATAGTCCAAGGCGAATAGGAATAAGAGGTAGCGGAGATAACCGGGGGGTCGTTTAGGGAGTTAAGACCGAGATAGCCGCCTCCTAAGGCGAAGAGGAATAATCCAGGGCGAAGGGAGGTGGAGGAGAGGGAAGCGAGCCATGCAGAGAGGTATGGCCCCCACTGTGGCATTGTATCGAGGGCCGTCGCGAGCGCGGAGGAGCCCGCCGCTATAACGAGGTTCGTCGCCATAAGCGCGGCGAAGCGGCACTCTCCAGAGGCGCGCTGCCGTGCGCTCCGGCGCTTTGATTGGCCGGCATCGGCGAGGGGATCCTTGCGACGACGAGGAGTGGAGAAGAGCGCGAGGCTCGTGAGGCCGGGCGGAAAGGGGATGGCGGAGGAAGGGGGGGAGGCGGGAGCGGAGGAGCGGGGGGGAGTCGAAGTCGCCGTTTTTAATCGGCGGGTCTCGCGTGCTCTCCGCTGCTTCATCGTGCTCGGCTGCGCTGGACTGACTGGGGTCGGTTTGGCAGGGTGAGCTACCGGAGGAGGAGGAGCGCGGGAAAGAGGAATCTGAGGTGCTCGGTGCTTAGCGTCGAATCGTGTCGTGTCGTGAGTCGTGACGTGACACCGAGTCGGCTGCTTGAGCTAGCAGAAACAACAACTTGGTAGGTCGGGGAAATGTCCCTTGTGCCCAAGGCTTGCCTACAGATCAGCGAGGAGAATGCGAGGGGGAATACTTTTCTTGGTCAGCTCTGGAGGGTCATCCCCACAGCACCACCTGCCTGTTCGCGGGAGGGAAGCAGATGCGGAAGCCCATCGGTCGGCCCAATGGCTGCTCCGAGAAGCTCGAGGGGTGTGCGGTGGGGAGGGAAGGAATTCGGTTGGGGAATCGGGAAGGGACGGGAGGGACGGGTGACGTGGGACTGGAAGGGACGGGCAGATGCGGCAGAAGGGGTGGCTGGCTGGCTGCCCAGGCTGTGGCGGTTTGCAGCCCCAGACATATCTTGAGGAGGCGTTTTTTGGAGAAAATTCTCAGGTTTTGCTCCTGAGTCCTGATAGGAGGTGCCGAAATTGCCCCATACCCATAAATCCCCACATGTGAAGTAGCCTGATGCGCGACGTTGTGACGCGTTAAAAACATGCCCTGAATTTGGTCGCGCCGCCAGGCGTTGTGGGCGAGCCCGCATTGTTCCCTGACCGGAGGGAAACAGCACAGCTGCCAATGATGCCTTTCGTTTCGATGGAGTGGTGAATCCAAGGGTGGGTGGGAGGCAGAGAGTGGTTGTTACCTAATCAGGCATTGTTCACTTTACCCAATGTTCTGCAAACACAGAAAAACGGAAAAACGGCTGAGAAACCTGAACCCTCACGCACAATGATGCACCTTGGGAAAACTGGCAAACTAAGCTAGGATTTGGTGATGCGAGCAGGGAATATCCTCTAGTGCAGCATTCCTGCAGGAATCTTCCCACCTCGTGATGAGGTGGGCGAGCTGGGCGAAGTCAATTCTGCAGGCGAACGCAGCACGGGGGAATGTGGGTGTACACCTTGAGCCTGACAGAGGAACACAACTTTTCAGGGTGCCGGTAGACAAAAACGCGCAGGGGTTTCGGGGCATCGCGACTCCATTTCGCTGCCAAGTCAGCGTTCGGTTTCATGCGGCGACGCTCAAGCCACAAATAAACCCACCGAGGCGTACGCACCTTTGTGAGCTCAACGAACGGCTCGCCCGGATCGTTATTCCGAGCGCGGCTGGAAGTTTTTGGCGAAAACGGTTGCGGCGCACATCTTTCGTCTTATGCCGCATGCTTATCACCGCTGTCATGATAACGCTCCACTGTTGGCTCTGTTCACGGCCCACGTTGAGTAGGCCGTTGCCCGTGTGTCAACGCTAATGGGCGGTGGTTTCTGATTTGGCCACGTATTGCGCTGGGCCTTGGGTGTGCTCCAAGTGTAGAGGCGAAAGCATTCGCATTCGCCAATTTCCGCGACGCAGTATTCTGACGTCACCCAAACCCAACAACCAAATCAGCAGTAATGAACAAAAGCATGCCAGCCAGTCATGCACAAGCTCGCCCCATGTTACGAATTAATCAGAGTAATAATAGGTAGTATAATAAAGGAGTCGTGCTAAGTGTCAATACAAATGAGGGCCTAGGCATTTATAGGCACAAACAGAGCTAGCCGAGAACCACGCGAACAAGTTCGGGCGGTCCGATTGGCGAAAGCCACGGAAGCGCCGCACGTCCAGGTTTGGGTTCACGAAATGGTTCGGGACCGAAGAAGTTGGCCGAGCCTGGACTTCCGAGAGTCGAGGGCATACGCGCTGTAGTCGAGCCCAGTACCGCCATTGGGTCAGAACGGTAGGCTGTGCGCCTGGCTCCAATTCGATTCTGTGGTCATGTGCTCGCTCAGGTGGCAAACCCTCTGGTAGGTCGTCTGGAAAAATGTCGACGTGTTTCCGGATCACCATCGCCAAGTCATCCGGGACAGCTGCGCAGAGTTTGTCGATGTCGATTGGCGTGTCGACAGCCGTTGATGCTATCCATCGGACGGTATACAGTTGCGACCCGCGAATCATGGCTCGCTTAATCGTCACCGTGCTGACCGTCGAAGTGGTCGAATCTTGACAGCTCTACTTAGGTAGTCGTCGCTACTCGCCATTTGATTCGACAATCGCCCGTCCGCCAGTCAATGCTCGGGTTGTATTCGCGCAGCCAATCGCATCCCAGCAGCATGTCGCAGACGTCCAAAGTTGTCGCCAGCATCTTCGTCGTGAAAGTGAAATCTTCGCCGCATGTTACTCGCACGTGAGGTACCCGCTCCCGAATTGCCAGTGGCGTGCCGTCAACCAATCTCGTATTGATTTCAGGCATGCAGCGCTCCAGCTGTAGTCGCAATTTTTTCGCTTTTGTCATGTCCATCAAACTGTGGCTCGCCCTGCCATCAACGAATATTTTGATGCGGGTGTCGCCAACCCTCCCTTCAATCAGCACAGGGTGATCAACCGGTTCACCCCCCTTATTCAGCCAAGAATGGTCGATAGCCCAAATCGGCACTATAACCCGATGGGGGTGGTGGCGTTTGGGCGACGCAGTCAAGTCAGTAGGTGGGCCATCTGCTACTGACGACCTCCATTTCCCGAGTGCTTCTTGTCGTTAGCTAAGTTCTTCTTCAGATGCAGGCAGTCCCTCACCATGTGACCCGGCTGGTTGCAGTGGAAGCAGGTCCTCGAAAATACTCGAGCTGCAAACACGTCCACGCCGTTGATTGATGTGTGTTGGGGCTGGCCTCGAAAGCGATTTCCCTCCCGGAAACCCGCTCTCGTGAGTCCACATCGTACGTCTAGTGCATCTGCTACGCGGACTATTTTGTTGAATGTCGCCGGGGCTCGTAGGACGATCTCTTGCTGAATCTCTGGCTTGAGACCACCCACGTAGCGATCGATGCGCTCGTCTTCGCTAAGCCCTCCGATTTGGTCGCAGATTGCCACAAGCGACGCCGTGTTTCTTGGACAGAACCCAACTGTCTCCACATCCGAAGCTTTGTGCGAGCATTTTCACGCATGGATATGTGCTCGAACCTGCTCTTCAACGCTTTGCCCCACGCTTTCCAAGTGCGGATCGTGGCCGACCCAAAGTTCGGTTCTGCCTTCGCCGTTGATTCCCTGCCAGGGCTCCTCCCTCGTCTAGATGCATGCGCCACCAGTCGAGTGTCGGTCCCCTCAGCAGTGACACAGCCAAGTTGGCACGTGATGCGTTGTCATTGATACTTGCTGCCGTGAAGAAGATTTCCATGGCGAACAGCCACCCGCTCACTGTAGTTGTCGTGTCGGTCGGGTTGAACCACGGAGGCATCAGTGGTTTGATTTTAATGGCCGCCCGCGGCTTGCTGTGGACTCCTTCAACTGCTCCAGGTGTCGCCGACGCCCTCGCTTCGCTCGCAGCATCTTCGTCTCGGCTAACAGGCCGCTCCTGACGTGTTTCACCCCGCGTCTGGCGAAGCGACGAGTTTTCGTTGCGCAGCGTCTGCACTTCTCTTCCCAGCGACTCGAACTTATCGGCGAGTTGTTGAAGCTGGGCCTGCAGTGTCGTTACTATAGCCGCCCTGGCTCGCAACTCGTCAAACTCCTCCTGAGTCGCGTTCCTAACACTACGAGGGGCAGATGTTTCCGGCGTGGTAGACATGCTGGAAATTTTACCTGACAGATCTAAGGGTGCACACGCTTCTAGTTGGAGGAGCTTTAAAGCGAGATGTTACAATACTGACCCCTCTTTCTAGTTGGGCCTAACTAGAAACGACCCTTGAGCGAATATTTTGCTTTGCGCCGGGCAGTAGCCCGGATTTTTTAGCATGCCTAGGGCCACGAAATCGAATTGCACCTGCAACGGGAATGTTATTATTGTCGTGGCACTGGGATAACCCTGTCGATCCTCTCTCTATCTCTAGGGAGGGTTCTGGGGAGGCTTTCCTCGAGGAAGATGGATATATGGAGCCTAACTCTCCTGATGACATCCCTTCTTGTCCCAGTGGTTAGGACTGGTGACTTTATGACATGGTATCAGAGCCATCCGGGGTTCAATTCCTGGTAAATGCTATCCCAGCGGGGGGGTGTGTCGTGGCACTGGGATAACCTTGTCAATCCTCTCTCTATCTCTAGGGAGGGTACTAGGGAGGCTTTCCTCGCGAAAGGTGGATATATGGAGCCTAACCCTCCTGATGACATCCCTTCTTGTCCCAATGGTTAGGACTGGTGACTTTATGACATGGTATCAGAGCCATCCGGGGTTCAATTCCTGGTATACATGCTATCCCAGCGAGGGGGCGTGTCGTGGCACCGGGATAACCCTGTCAAACCTCTCTCTATCTCTAGGGAGGATACTGGGGAGGCTTTCCTCGGGGAAGATGGATATATGGAGCCTAACCCTCCTGGTGACATCCCTTCTTGTCCAAGTGGTTAGGACTGGTGACTTTATGATATGGTATCAGAGCCATCCGGGGTTCAATTCCTGGTGTACACGCTATCCCAGCGGGGGGGTGTGTCGTGGCACTGGGATAACCCTGTCAAACCTCTCTCTATCTCTAGGGAGGGTACTAAGGAGGCTTTCCTCGGGAAAGGTGGATATATGGAGCCTAACCCTCCTGATGACATCCCTTCTTGTCCCAATGGTTAGGACTGGTGACTTTATGACATGGTATCAGAGCCATCCGGGGTTCAATTCCTGGTGTACATGCTATCCCAGCGAGAGGGCGAGTCGTGGCACCGGGATAACCCTGTCAATCCTCTCTCTACCTCTAGGGAGGGTACTGGGGAGGCTTTCCTCGGGGAAGGTGGATATATGGAGCCTTACCCTCCTGATGACATCCCTTTTTGTCCAAGTGGTTAGGACTGGTGACTTTATGACAATTGTGACAGATCGTACAACCACTGGCATGCGTAGACAATAATTTCGACCAATTGGCAACCATCCTTGGTTTAGCAGGAGTAGTGAAACCGGGTCCAACTTGAAATTTAAGTTGGGCCCACTTGGTTCAACTTGCGGGCAGTGGGGACTATGCGACTGGTCGCCCGCTATTTGCGACTTGAGTTTGTTCGCGCCAAGTTTCCCACCAAACGAAACGGGGTTTCCCCCTAACCAATCAAGTAACTGCTCATGCTCGCTCAATTTCCCCTGCTCGCATGTCTCGACAGTGAACCCCTCTGCCCCAACCAGTTTGTCCCTTACTCGCTGCGACGAACTTCTGGGCCCTTTCAACTTCGCCCGCCTTCATTATTTTGACCACTCGCTTTAACGAGCTCACCTACCAACCGCAGGCCAACCCCCTATTCTGTTGGGTCCTCTCCCGATATAAACGGACTACTCTACGGAAGACTAAGTGGGCAAGAACGGGGCTCTGATACCAGCTGTTATGAATTAATCAGAGTAATGACAGGTAGTGTAATAAAGGAGTCGTGATTGAAGAGTGTCGATACAAATGAGGGCCTAGGCATTCATAGGCACGAACAGAGCTAGCCGAGAACCACGCGAACAAGTTGGGGCGGTCTGGTTGGCGAAAGCCACGGAAGTGCCGCACGTCCAGGTTTGGGTTCACGAAATGGTTCGGGACCGAAGAAGTTGGCCGCGCCTGGACTTCCGAGAGTCGAGGGCATACGCGCTGTAGTCGAGCCCAGTAAGGCAAAGGGAATTTCCTTACACCCCTGGTGCACGTAACAACACTGGAAGAGAATGCTGGTTTCCAATGTAAATGAATATATGAATCATTCGACCAATAAATTACTTCCCATAGAATCCACCTCCCCAAGAATACGCCACCCATTGCCATGAACTCACTTCACAACCATAATCCTAAGACCACTAGCATTCCCAATCTTCTGCACCACCACAGCCGTATCTCCCACGTTGCACAGCCCCCCACTGATGCCCATGCTAATGGCAGAAGCCACAATAGCATCGGTAGCATCACTATCTGTAGCATGAGCTCCTCCCTCAGCCATGACAGGGTGCAGCCCCCGAACCAGCAGAGCATGCCTGGCAGCAGCTTCGGCATCGGAGCAGCACACGAGGCGCAGTGGATCATGCGGGTGGGGGATCAGCTCGGGGACAATGACTGAGAGCACGGGCATAGGTGGGCGATACTTGGCTATGAGTCGAGACGTGGCTCCAGTGCGAGTGAGGACAACAATCACAGCCGCCCGAATCTGCCGGTCAAAGAGGGGAACGAACAATTAGAGTCATGGAAAAGGGCACCACAAGTTATTACAAAATGCATGGGAGGAGACAGACAACTGTCGACTTGAGATGACGCAAGCTCCTGAAGGAACACTGCCGAGGTGTGCGGGGGACTGGGAGCGGCCTGGCTCACCATGTCAGCAGTCTTGACAGCCGAGGAAGCGAGGCTCTCGATGGGGCTCATGGGCATGGCAGTGGCGGCCATCATGTCCCGGTACGACGCCGCAGGGTCCACACTCGCCTCCGCCTCGCGGCACAGCCGCACCATCACAGATGCCGCCTCCACCGGGTACTGCCCCGCCGCCGTCTCCCCCGACAGCATCACCGCGTCGGTGCCGTCGAGCACGGCGTTGGCGACGTCGGTGCACTCGGCGCGCGTGGGGCGCGGGAATTTGGTCATGGACTCAAGCATCTGCGTGGCGGTGACAACGGGCTTGCCGGCCTTGTTGCACTTGTGGATCATCATCTTCTGCGCCAGGAAGATCTTCTCGATGGGGATCTCCATGCCCAGGTCGCCTCGCGCCACCATGATGGCGTCTGACTCGCGCAAAATGTCGTCAAAGTTGACCAGCCCCTCCTGGTTCTCCACCTGCGGCAGGGAGAAGAAAAAAGGAGAGGAGGATTGGTTTGGGTTAACACTGTACGTCAAGGGAATGCAGCACAGATGCAGCTGCCAACTGCCAGCCAGTGGAAGCTGTAGTTGGTGCAAGTAACTTGTCGCCCAGTGAGCTTGAGCCTGCAGAAAGACAGCACTGTACCTTCTCTTCTTCCGACCCCATTCAGCCAGCTCCAGACACACCTCCCAACCCCACTATCACCTTCCTGACCCACCTCCCCCCACCTCCCCGCACCCCATGCATCCACCCTCCCTCGCTGACCTTTGAAATGATGTGGATGCGCTTGCTGTTCTCCGCGCCCAGCAGCTTCTTTATAGCAACCACGTCCGAGCCCTTGCGCACGAACGAGGCGGCGATGAAGTCGACCCCGTGCGGGACCGCCCACAGCAGGATGTCCTCCTTGTCCTTGGCTGTCACTGTCGGCAGGTCCACTATCACGCCCGGGAGGTTCACGTTCTTGCGCTCGCCCAGGACTGCTGTGTTCTCACACCGGCAGCGCACAGTGCTGCGTGAAAGAGACAAGGGAGGAGGGTGGGAGTGAGACAGAAGGAATGCGTACAGAAGGGAATTGTTAGTGAGTCTGCTTTTGTTGCTCTGTTGCACAGTCAGCCTGATCTTTCATGGATTCTTTTCAAAACATCGTCACCACCACACAGCAAACAAGCGCCATAACATCCTTCACCAAAACCCCCCTTCCTCCCACCAACCCTTTTCACACCACACCCAACCACCCCCCAAAACCCCCCACAAATCTCCCTCCGCCCTTCCCCCCCGCTCACCCCTTCGCCACGTCGCAAGCCAGCACGGTGAGCGAGATGCTGCCGTCTGCGCAGAGGATCTGCCCCCCTGGTTTCACGTCCTTGGCCAGGCTCTTGTAGCTGATGGCGATGGTGGCGGCGTCCCCGAGCGCGGCGTAGTCCGTGGTGAGAGTGACCTCGCCGCCCTGCTGAAGCTGCACCGCCTTGCCGCCCTTCAGCTGCCCTGTGCGGATCTCGGGGCCCTGGCGCAAGGAGAGGGGCGGGCGGAGGCGGAATTGGAGACGAGAGCGGGGGGAGAGAAGAGCGGAGGGGGATGAAACACGGGGGAGAGGGGTGGAGGGGGGAAGGGGGGAGTGGGGGAGGAGGGAAGGGGTAGGGAGAAAGGGAGGAGGGGAGGGGCTAGAGTGGGAAACGGGGGTGAGGAGTGAAAGTGAGTGGGGGGAAGTGGGGATCGGAAGGATGGCAGGAGGAGCGAGGCTGGGTTGGCATAATCAGGGGTTTAAGACGTCCACTCTCGTGCAATCACCTTGAAGGTGGCCTACTGACATCCACTCTCCCCCTCTACTAGTGGGAATTTCCCCAGTTTCACTAAAACCCAAACCTGCCTTGGTTTTTATGTTTGAGGCGCCTCAAATAAGAAACCCGGGCCCACCTTGGTGTCCAGCAGCGTGGCGCACGGAATCCCCGTGTTCGCCATGGCGGCGCGCAGGTTGTTGAGCGTCTCTGAGTGGTACTCGTGCGACCCGTGGGAGAAGTTGAAGCGCGCCACGTTCATCCCCGCTAAGAGCAGCTTCTCCAGCACCGGCACGCTGCGGGAGGCGGGCCCCAGCGTGCAGATCATCTTGGTCTTGCAGTCGTTGCGCGGCCCGTAGTGGTGATGCTCCTCCGCACAGTAGCTCTGGATCACCCCGTCATCCCCGATAAAGCCATCCTCGAAACTGTTATCGAGGTCGCCGTGAACGGACCGGATCCTCGGGATCATACCAAGCTTCTGATTCTCCCCTGCTGCCGCCGCAACAGTCGCCGGGTCCTTCGCCGTGATGAGCGCTCCGTCCAGGGATTCGCTGTTGCGGCTGTACGACTCGTGGTTGCCGCTGCCGCGATCCACGTCCATGAGCGACGCGACGTCCCTCTCTCGCCCGATCCCCATCCACACGTCCACCACCTTCGCGAGCCCCTCGCGCACGCGCCGCGACCACTTCTGCGCGTGCGCGCGCCGCCCCGCCTCCATCGCCACGGCCGCGTCGCACATCTCCGCCCACTCCGCCACCGTCGCCGCCGCGGAGCCAACGCGGTCAGCGCGATCGGCACGATCGTCGCGGTCGCGATCGCGGCCGCCGCGGTCTGACCAGAGGTCGCTGGGTTCCGTCTTAACAGACGGAGTCTGATTCAGCGGGACCGCCATGATTGCGCCGTGCGGTTCGCCGCTGGCGGCGGCGGCGCCGCCTTCCATCCGTCGGCGCTTCGCCAGCGAGACTGGATCGGCTGGGGCGGGATGCCGCCCGAGGCCGTTCGTCGCATGGCCGTTCGTCGCTTGATTCAGGAAGCCGTTCGTGAATCCCGTCATGGCGAGAGTGACACAATCGAGATCCCGGATTGACAGAGAAGAAACGGATCGTCGGGCGAAAAGCAACCTTCCACGCCGTCCAGACAGCACAAGGCCGAGGAGGATCGCCGTGCGAAATTGCGCGCACAAGCTACGACGCGAATTGGTTTCGGACAGCGAGGACAGAGAAATAATATGTGTGGCGATCGCTGGTGAAGGAGAAACAGAGATGATCACGGGGATCAGACCCGGAATTGGGTGGAAGAGACCATGGCAAGGGAGATGAAGCAAAATGGGCCAGGAAACATGAAGGGGGGTGTTTTGATCAACGCTTCACGAAAGGGCAATTGCGACCAGCGGCAAGCAGATGGGCTGTTGTCATGGCGAGAGAGAGGGAGAGGGAGAGAGAGAGAGAGCGTTATGGTATGGTGGAATGCGGCACTTTCTGATGGGTCCGATGTTCGAAAGCGATGCGGCGCTGCCATGCGTTGCCGCGAGCACGGAGAGCCAACCAAAACGAATCTCGCTCCGCAGGTGGTTAGTGCGGGGCCGAATGGAAGTGCTGACAGGTTTACAAAAAAAGTTTTTACGCGATACCCTTTTTTATTTATTAGTTTTTTTTTGGAAATTCTTTCAGGGTTTGGAGAACTCTTTTTGCCCCACACTGCAGACGCGGCGAGAATTTGGTCTGAGCCGGACAAGAGCTTAGGTGATCAGGTTTAGGGGTTGAGGTTCAGATCCCACCTGGATGAGAAATAAGAAATACCACCAACCTCCAAACCACGTGCCAGCTGCAATGCGGGGAAAATGACTTTGCTTGCACCCCAATGTCAGCGAGAAAGGGGGTAAACATGGTGGAAGGGGATTTGACAGGGTTTTTCGAGCCACTTTCGGCGGGTCGATTCAGTGGCGGCTATGCAGCAACCAACCAACCAGTGCGCCTTCCCCCACGCGTGGTGAGAGCTCGCGGGTGAGCTTCCCCCAACAGCGCTGGGGCCGCTTGATGGCTCCCCCGTTTCGGCGCAATTTCGTTTCCTGTCGTTCGGGGATCGAGGAATTGCGCATCACATGCTCTTTACACATCAGCCAGCCTCATCCCACAGCAGACACACATGCTGCTTGTCACAGCTGTACAGGCACCACTCAAAGTTCCCCCCTGCATTGTCACAGCTGCATTTTTCATAATGGTATCAATACTCACTAATAGCACAGTTCAGTACAATGTAAACAAGGCTCGGCGCAAAACATACACCGCAAAATGAATTATTACAAATGACACCGAAGAATGCGCATCACTTGGACGTAGATAACATGTAGTTCATCCGCATTAAAAGGTCTTGAGCTGATAGTGCTCCCTCCTGCAGGGAAACCAGGAAACTTGTGAGACTTATGCTCCTCTTTATACTCGTACTTGAGCATACATACACACCCTCAAAAGGAGCCCCTGAGCTTACCACGCGATCAATAACTTGGCCTTTTCGAAAAAGCATGAGAGTCGGCAGGCCCTGAATTCCATATCGCGAAGCCAGCTTAGGGTATTTCTCAGTATCCACCTTCACCTGCAGTTCCAGGGCACACACACACCATACCATAAGCAAGAGAAAAATCCGAGTGACCAAGGACAGAACAATAAAAGTGTATCCCCAACGGAACTAACTTTTGATGCTCAGGGTCACGAAATAGTTAGCACGTACAATCTTGACGGAGTTACCAACTTGAGCGGACACTTGATCCAGGGTCTTCGCCACGATTTGGCAGGGACCACACCTTGGACACGGAGAAAGGCGAAACGCAGAGGCCGGTGAGGGGGGCGGACACCGTGAAGGCTACCGTGATTAGCGTACGCTGAGAGTCTGTTGTGACATAATAGGCTTTGAGGGCGAACGTGGACTATCAGATGTGTGAAACTCAGGGTTTGTTCAATTCGCCCAATCGTCAACAACACGGTTTTGTTTATCTCAGAAAAGGAACGGACATACCATGTGGCATAGAAGTCGACCAGGACCACGTCAGCCGACTGAATCATATCATCAAACGACGAGAATGTCTGCTTTCCGGCTGCCGAAACGACGAAGCGACGAGGGTGCTGGATGTAGAGGGAGATAGAGGCATATCAGCAAATAGACGGACGCAGTACACTCGATAACGTGTTGTAGCACTGGAACGGAATCGTCGCTTCGAGATAACGGCACATTAAGTAAGCAGCATTTGAAACAATCATACCTTCGCGCGATTCCCCGGCTGAGGTCGAAGAGGGATTGACGGCTGAAGAAAAGAGCAGCGCAGCGGGGAGATGGCAGAGGAAGAACGGCCAGGCGAGAACCGTGTGATAGGTGAACAGGAAACTGAGTGCGCGGAAATCGACCCCTTCTGCGCTAATTGGAAGTTTGAAGAGGCATAGACGGTTGGTGCTGAAACTGCACTCGTTCCGCGAGCCGCCATAGTAAAGGTACTAGTTTACTGAATCTTTCGAAGGATTGACGCGGATGCGCGATTCTGTCAGCTCTACAGCCTAGAAGAGAAGTGGAGTAGAGTATATACGTTGAAGCAAAATGCCATAAATGCTGCGAAATGAGAGTTGAGGGTTGGCAAATGCTGTTCAGTAATTGAATGAAGATGGGGAAGCCATCACAGGCCCGCAGCAGCACTTCACTTGAGCTGAGCGAGCACCGCTCTGAGAGGGTGTGACGTTACGGCTGATGGAAAAGCATCGAGTCAGCATCCAATACTTGGCCGGCGATAATTGGTTGTCGTATTGCTTTTGGGACGAGAAAGTGGATGGTAAAGCCACGTGTATGCAAGGCCAGCGAAGCATCGAATGCCGAATTGGAGCCTTCTTGAAGTTGGAGGAATACTTTTTCGGTGGATGTTCCATTTTCGTGTACTTGTTTCTGTATTGTACGCTACTGCTAATCGAGGGAATTGCTGGCGAAACCTTGTCTTTGAGCTGGCGGGGGGTCGCTGTGAGTTCGCGCATACCCTCAATGCTGTCGCCCAGCTTTTCGTCACAACTCAAGTCGCCAGAAAGGGTATCATTGCCATGGTCGCACGGCATCGTTGCCCGTGGTAATCGGCCCATCCCCTTCCCACCAATCCCAACCCACTCTTTATGAAGCACACTTCCCCCAAAATATGCCCCCCCCAACAAGCCCAGCATCCCTACGCGCGACCCCCCGTACTCCGCCCCAGTTCCTCCACCACACAAACAGATCCCCTCCCAATACAGCTGCATTGTACTGTACCTCCGCAGCATACCACCTTCCCTCCCCCACCATACCCCCCGCTAATCCCCCCTCTCCTCACCCCCCCACAGAGTTCCGCATTCCGCCGCATCCCTCCAAACCCTCCCAACGGCCTGGTTGTAACGCACACGGTCAATCGACATGTCGCTTTGAGCCCGCAGACACTTCGCCACCACACGTCGCCCACAGTCCACTGTGCGACAGTCGCTTTTCCACTCTCACCGACGGGCAAACCACTGTTGCTCGTGAACCAACGAGATTCGCCTCGCCTCACCTGCTGCACCGTCTGCAGTACTGTACTGCTTCAGATGACGGACTAGCAAACAAGCAAGCAAGTCCATTCACTTATCAGACCGAGCATTAGCCGTTCACCAAACAAGTAACACTTACGATTTCCCGTTTATTTTAGCGTCGGCAGTTTAGCGACTCTCCGTCCTCGCGCCGGGTTGATCATGTGCGCTATCTGCTCTCGTCAGGTCAGCTGATGCGAGGTTAGCTCATTGCTCATCGCTCATTGCTCATCCCTCATTGGTCACCACCCTCGCCACCTGCACCGGCCTCCGTCCTCGCATCATCGTCTCCTGTCCTGCCTTCTCTCCCGGCCAAATCCCCAGCTTCCTCCCCATGCCGCCTTCGCAGCAAGCCTCTCTCGTCGCAGCGCGTGTTGCGTAGCCATTAGCGGCGCGCGCGCGGACAGCAACCCGTTGAAATCCGCACTCGAATCCCGCACGAGAGGAATCAACATGGAAACCGCCGCCACTGCCGCCGCCACCGCTAGCGCCACAGCCAGCGCTAGCGCCAGCCCCCAGTGTGCATGGCGGAGGGAGAGCGGTGCATGCGGGGCGAGCGCGGAGCGACGAGAAACAGGGAACGAGACGAGCGCATTAATCGACGACCAGTCAAACCAGGAAGTGGTGCGCGGCTCGCCAGAGGAGCAAGGGCGAACGCCCGCTGAATGCGCCCAAGCGCCGGGGCGGGGAGATGAGCGCACGGTAGGGGCAGCGGCGGAGGCGGCGGGAGCGGAAGCGGGGGCGGGGGCGGGGGCGGGGGCGGGGGCGGGGGAGGCGGAGGCAGCAGCGGCGGCGGAGAAGGATCCGGTGCGGTCGTTCGCGCACTCGAGTCACATGGTGGCGTCGCCCCCCTTCGACACGTCCGACCTGCACATCTCGCCCACGCGCTTCCTCGGCGCTGTCAGTCGCAGCTGCCCTTGCCTCTGCCCCCTTGCCTCTGCCCCCTTGCCTCTGCCCCCTTGCCTCTGCCCCCTTGCCGCTGCCCCCTTGCCTCTGCCCCCTTGCCTCTGCCCCCTTGCTGCTGCTCCCTTGCCGCTGCCCCCTTGCCTCTGCCCCCTTGCCTCTGCCCCTTGCCTCTGCCCCCTTGCCGCTGCCCCCTTGCCTCTGCCCCCTTGCCTCTGCCCCCTTGCCTCTGCCCCCTTGCCTCTGCCCCCTTGCCTCTGCCCCCTTGCCTCTGCCCCCTTGCCGCTGCCCCCTTGCCTCTTGCCCCTTGCCTCTGCCCCCTTGCCGCTGCCAATGCCACGTCCAGTGCTGTCGCCGCACACTGAGCGCAAATCGCACAGCCTCTTAGGGGCGCGCCCTCACCTGTCTCGTACACTGCTACTACGAACGCGCCTTCCCCCTCCCCCCACCTCTCCTGCCGCCCCCCCACCCTGGCAACCCCTACATTTTGTGGGTTCCTGCCGCTTGATCCTCTCCGTTGTTCCCACCCTACATTCCGCCCTCCTCCGCCTCCTGCCTCCGCTGTGCGTCCCTTCTCGTGTCTTCCACTCCCGGGCATGGCATGTGATGGCATTGTTTCATTCGGCACATGGCTTGGCATATCATCCATGGTACGGCATGGCTCGGCATGATACGGCAGGGCACGTATGGCGAGGTGCGCATGGGGTCATGGCATGGCCAGGCTGTGGCAGTGAAGATCCTAAAGAATGCTGCCGACTCTCTCCTGCGGTCAGTGCCCCTTGGTCTTGCACACAGTACCTAGTATCCAATGCAACATACTTGAGATATGCTGTCCCTGTGGTTTTGAGGCGCCTCAAGACTAGACTCCTATCACGCGGTTTTGAGGCGCCTCAAAACTATTATCCAATGCAACATACTTGAGACGTGCTCTCCTTGCCCACTTGTCAACGAGTTTCACACCGCACCGCATTCTCTCTGTGCAGGGCGTGAGGTGTTGATAATACCATATCCTTGGTGCATTGCGCAAAGGGACCTCCATGTGCACACTGCACCGCTCCGCACTACCCATTTCCCCTGCCTCAAAACTAGCCTCATCCACCCCTGCCCTGTCTCCCTCCTCCCATTCTCCCCTCCTTCCCTCCTCCCCTTCGTCCCTCCTTCCCTCCCCCCCCCGCAGCACCTTCTTTCTGCGCGAGGTGGCGATCACACGGCTGGTGCAGCACCCCAACATCGTGCGCTTCCTGGGCGCCAAGACCGACGCCATGCCCTTCATGCTCGTCACCGAGATGCTGCCCATGGTGAGGCGGGGAGAGGGGGGTTCCCGAGGTGGGGCGGGGAGAGGGGGGGGCCCATGGCGAGGCGGGGAGACTGGGGAGAGGGGGGAGAGCGAGAGGGTACGGGAGTGAGAGAGATATGGAGAGAAGACATGCCCTTCGTGCTCGTCACAGAGATGCTGCCCCTGGTGAGATGCGGGGTGACAATGGTGGGGGGGGAGAGAGTGGGGTGCACATGGTGAGGGGTGGGTGCTTATCTTGAGGCGGGGAGACGGCAGAGACGGGGGAGAGGGGCGTGAGGGAAGTGGGGGAGAGCTTACGGGAGTGTAAGAGATGGAGAGAGTACATGCCCTTCATGCCCTCACATCCCCTGCCCTCACATCCCCTGCCCACATATACCATGCCCACATATCCCATGCCCACATATCCCATGCCCCCATATCCCATGCCCGCAAATCCGATGCCCACATATCCCATGCCCACATATCCCATGCCCACATATCCCATGCCCACATATCCCATGCCCACACATCCCCTGCCCACATATCCCATGCCACATATCCCTTGCCCACATATCACATGCCCACATATCCCATGCCACACATCCCTTGCCCACACATCCCATGTCCACATATATCATGCCCACATATCCCATGCCCACACATCCCCTGCCCACATATCCCATGCCCACATATCCCATGCCCACATACCCCATGCCCACATATCCCTTGCCCACATATCCCATGCCCACATATCCCATGCACACAGATCACATGCCCACATATCCCATGCCACATATCCCTTGCCCACATATCACATGCCCACATATCCCATGTCACATATCCCTTGCCCACATATCACATGCCCACATATCCCATGCCCACATATCCCATGCCCACACATCCCCTGCCCACATATCCCATGCCCACATATCCCATGCCCACATATCCCATGCCCACATTTCCCATGCCCACATACCCCATGCCCACATATCCCTTGCCCACATATCCCATGCCCACATATCCCTTGCCCACATATCACATGCCCACATATCCCATGCCCACATATCCCATGCCCACATATCCCATGCCCACATATCCCATGCCCACATACCCCATGCCCACATATCCCTTGCCCACATATCCCATGCCCACAGATCACATGCCCACATATCCCATGCCACATATCCCTTGCCCACATATCACATGCCCACATATCCCATGCCACATATCCCTTACCCACATATCCCATGTCCACATATATCATGCCCACATATCCCATGCCCACACATCCCCTGCCCACATATCCCATGCCCACATATCCCATGCCCACATATCCCATGCCCCCATATCCCATGCCCGCAAATCCGATGCCCACATATCCCGTGCCCGCATATCCCATGCCCGCATATCTCACGCCCACATATCCCATGCCCACATATCCCATGCCCCCATATCCCATGCCCACATACCCCATGCCCACATACCCCATGCCCACATATCCCTTGCCCACATATCCCATGCCCACATATCCCATGCCCACATATCCCATGCCCACACATCCCCTGCCCACATATCCCATGCCCCCATATCCCATGCCCACATACCCCATGCCCACATATCCCTTGCCCACATATCCCATGCCCACATATCCCATGCCCACATATCTCATGCCCACACATCTCCTGCCCACATATCCCATGCCCACATATCCCATGCCCACATACCCCATGCCCACATATCCCTTGCCCACATATCCCATGCCCACATATCCCATGCCCACAGATCACATGCCCACATATCCCATGCCACATATCCCTTGCCCACATATCACATGCCCACATATCCCATTTCACATATCCCTTGCCCACATATCACATGCCCACATATCCCATGCCCACATATCCCATGCCCACACATCCCCTGCCCACATATCCCATGCCCACATATCCCATGCCCACATATCCCATGCCCACATTTCCCATGCCCACATACCCCATGCCCACATATCCCTTGCCCACATATCCCATGCCCACATATCCCTTGCCCACATATCACATGCCCACATATCCCATGCCCACATATCCCATGCCCACATATCCCATGCCCACATATCCCATGCCCACATACCCCATGCCCACATATCCCTTGCCCACATATCCCATGCCCACAGATCACATGCCCACATATCCCATGCCACATATCCCTTGCCCACATATCACATGCCCACATATCCCATGCCACATATCCCTTACCCACATATCCCATGTCCACATATATCATGCCCACATATCCCATGCCCACACATCCCCTGCCCACATATCCCATGCCCACATATCCCATGCCCACATATCCCATGCCCCCATATCCCATGCCCGCAAATCCGATGCCCACATATCCCGTGCCCGCATATCCCATGCCCGCATATCTCACGCCCACATATCCCATGCCCACATATCCCATGCCCCCATATCCCATGCCCACATACCCCATGCCCACATACCCCATGCCCACATATCCCTTGCCCACATATCCCATGCCCACATATCCCATGCCCACATATCCCATGCCCACACATCCCCTGCCCACATATCCCATGCCCCCATATCCCATGCCCACATATCCCTTGCCCACATATCCCATGCCACATATCCCTTGCCCACATATCACATGCCCACATATCCCATTTCACATATCCCTTGCCCACATATCACATGCCCACATATCCCATGCCCACATATCCCATGCCCACACATCCCCTGCCCACATATCCCATGCCCACATATCCCATGCCCACATATCCCATGCCCACATTTCCCATGCCCACATACCCCATGCCCACATATCCCTTGCCCACATATCCCATGCCCACATATCCCATGCCCACAGATCACATGCCCACATATCCCATGCCCACATATCCCATGCCCACAGATCACATGCCCACATATCCCATGCCACATATCCCTTGCCCACATATCACATGCCCACATATCCCATGCCACATATCCCTTACCCACATATCCCATGTCCACATATATCATGCCCACATATCCCATGCCCACACATCCCCTGCCCACATATCCCATGCCCACATATCCCATGCCCACATATCCCATGCCCCCATATCCCATGCCCGCAAATCGGATGCCCACATATCCCGTGCCCGCATATCCCATGCCCACATATCTCACGCCCACATACCCCATGCCCACATATCCCTTGCCCACATATCCCATGCCCACATATCCCATGCCCACAGATCACATGCCCACATATCCCATGCCACATATCGCTTGCCCACATATCACATGCCCACATATCCCATGCCACATATCCCTTGCCCACGTATCACATGCCCACATATCCCATGCCCACATATCCCATGCCCAGACATCCCCTGCCCACATATCCCATGCCCACATATCCCATGCCCACATATCCCATGCCCACATTTCCCATGCCCACATACCCCATGCCCACATATCCCTTGCCCACATATCCCATGCCCACATATCCCATGCCCACAGATCACATGCCCACATATCCCATGCCCACATATCCCATGCCCACATACCCCATGCCCACATATCCCTTGCCCACATATCCCATGCCCACATATCCCATGCCCACAGATCACATGCCCACATATCCCATGCCACATATCCCTTGCCCACATATCACATGCCCACATATCCCATGCCTACCCACATATCCCATGTCCACATATATCATGCCCACATATCCCATGCCCACACATCCCCTGCCCACATATCCCATGCCCACATATCCCATGCCCACATATCCCATGCCCCCATATCCCATGCCCGCAAATCCGATGCCCACATATCCCGTGCCCTCATATCCCATGCCCACATATCTCACGCCCACATATCCCATGCCCACATATCCCATGCCCCCATATCCCATGCCCACATACCCCATGCCCACATACCCCATGCCCACATATCCCTTGCCCACATATCCCATGCCCACATATCCCATGCCCACATATCCCATGCCCACACATCCCCTGCCCACATATCCCATGCCCCATATCCCATGCCCACATACCCCATGCCCACATATCCCTTGCCCACATATCCCATGCCCACATATCCCATGCCCACATATCTCATGCCCACACATCCCCTGCCCACATATCCCATGCCCACATATCCCATGCCCACATACCCCATGCCCACATATCCCTTGCCCACATATCCCATGCCCACATATCCCATGCCCACAGATCACATGCCCACATATCCCATGCCACATATCCCTTGCCCACATATCACATGCCCACATATCCCATGCCACATATCCCTTGCCCACATATCATATGCCCACATATCCCATGCCCACATATCCCATGCCCACACATCCCCTGCCCACATATCCCATGCCAACATATCCCATGCCCACATATCCCATGCCCACATTTCCCATGCCCACATACCCCATGCCCACATATCCCTTGCCCACATATCCCATGCACACATATCCCATGCCCACAGATCACATGCCCACATATCCCATGCCACATATCCCTTGCCCACATATCACATGCCCACATATCCCATGCCACATATCCCTTGCCCACATATCATATGCCCACATATCCCATGCCCACATATCCCATGCCCACACATCCCCTGCCCACATATCCCATGCCAACATATCCCATGCCCACATATCCCATGCCCACATTTCCCATGCCCACATACCCCATGCCCACATATCCCTTGCCCACATATCCCATGCACACATATCCCATGCCCACAGATCACATGCCCACATATCCCATGCCACATATCCCTTGCCCACATATCACATGCCCACATATCCCATGCCACTTATCCCTTACCCACATATCCCATGTCCACATATATCATGCCCACATATCCCATGCCCACACATCCCCTGCCCACATGTCCCATGCCCACATATCCCATGCCCACATATCCCATGCCCCCATATCCCATGCCCGCAAATCCGATGCCCACATATCCCGTGCCGCATATCCCATGCCCACATATCCCATGCCCACATATCCCATGCCCCCATATCCCATGCCCACATACCCCATGCCCACATACCCCATGCCCACATATCCCTTGCCCACATATCCCATGCCCACATATCCCATGCCCACATATCCCATGCCCACATATCCCATGCCCACATATCCCCTGCCCACATATCCCATGCCCCCATATCCCATGCCCACATACCCCATGCCCACATACCCCTTGCCCACATATCCCATGCCCACATATCCCATGCCCACATATCCCATGCCCACATATCTCATGCCCACACATCCCCTGCCCACAGATCCCATGCCCACATATCCCATGCCCACATACCCCATGCCCACATATCCCTTGCCCACCGTATCCCATGCCCACATATCCCATGCCCACAGATCACATGCCCACATATCCCATGCCACATATCCCTTGCCCACATATCCACACATGCCCACATATTCCCCCATGCCCACATATCCCATGCCCAACACATTCCCCCTGCCCACATATCCCATGCCCACATATCCCATGCCCACATACCCCATGCCCCACATAATCCCCATTGCCCCACATATTCCCCCTATGCCCACATATCCCATGCCCACCAGATCACATGCCCACATATCCCATGCCACATATCCCATGCCCACATATCACATGCCCACATACCCATGCCACATATCCCTTGCCCACATATCCCATGCCCACATATCATGCCCACAGATCACAATTGCCCACATATCCCATGCCACATATCCCTGCCCACATATCACATGCCCCACATATCCCATGCCACATATCCTCCCCATATCCATGCCCACATATCATCATGCCCACATATCCCATGCCCACATATCCCTGCCCACATACCCATGCCCACATATCCCATGCCCACATATCCCATGCCCACATATCCATGCCCCATCCATGCCCACATATCTGCCCCCATGCCCTGCACATATCCATGCCCACGTACCCCATGCCCACATATCCCATGCCCACATATCCCATGCCCACATATCCCATGCCCACATATCCCATGCCCGCACATATCCCATGCCCCACATATCCCATGCCC